TCAATTACGCTGAACCACCGGTAAAATTGATCCGGTGCTCGCCTCGGGTAATATGATTACCCGAGCCAGATGGCACATTATTTCCAACTATTTAAGCCTATGGCAGCAGGTCTCTTAACTCAGTTGGTTAGAGTGTGGAGCTAATATTAGATCACTCCAAAGTCGCAGGTTCGAGCCCTGCAGGGACCAATTCTTTTTGACTCCATTTTCGAATCAACCATTATTTTTGTGCGTTGACATGATTTTTCATTTCCAAGAAAACATTATTGCCAATTTTATGCATTCGAAACAACACAGTGTTCGCAGATAAGCAAGAAAGGCGTAGAATATGATATACAAGTAATTAAATTGTAGAGTAGTGGGTAGAGATAGTATTCGGATGTGTGTTGTATTTGGTTGTATTCGATAGTACTTAGTATCCAGTACTCGTTGTAGTCGGTTCTGATTGATTTTACATTGTTGATAAGAAGGGATCCAAAAAGGAGGCTTGAAAGTAAGTGATGGAATTAACCGTGTGAGTGTGATTGAATAGATTTTATTAAGCGGAGCAATAAGCAGTGAGCAGTGAGCAGAGAATAATTAATGCAGTGAGTTAGATGAGTGCTAAGACGATGCTGTGTGAGGTGTAAATTATGGTGTTTAGACGGGCTGATCGTGAGAGTGAGATTGAGCATGAGTATGAGTAAGTCTATCATGCTGATGTACATTCGCCTCATCAACACCGTCAACGCCCTCATCGTCATCCTCACCACCCGCCTCACTAGCATCGAAGAGGAGTCCCTTGTTAGAACCAGTCGATTCACGCGCCGACCAGCTCTTGACAACCATAGTGAGAGCAACGCAGAAGATGCATAAGGCCGTCAAGCTAATGACGAGATTGAGGAGGAACATGAGATGAGCAAAACCTCTACGATAAGCGGCGAAAGTAAACTGTTCGATAGAGAACATGAAGGCAATACCGCCAGCGGAGAGGAAGAAAGAAGCCAGTAGTTCCGTGACAGGTTTAGTAGGCCTCTCCGATGTGATAGGGGAGAGGTAAGTGAGAGCGTAAGTAGAGCATCTGCAGAGAGCAAACAGAGCGAGGAAGTTGCCGAAAAGGGCGTGTTGACTAACAGCGAAAGCGTACTCCTGGTGATGGGACGCCATAGCGAATCCAGTAATACCAATAGCTAACGCAGGGAATGGATTGGGGTTGGGCTGGTCGGGACGATAGCTGCCGAAGAGGCGTCTAACACTCCTCAGCTCTATCAATAGACCTAGTCCACCAACGAAGAAAAACATCACCGCTATAGACGCATGTTGCACTTGCTTCATCGACCATGGATCACCCGCTTTCGCACCGAATCGCTCCATGAACGTGTTCGTGCAGCCGTATGTGAAAATGACTAGACATTCCACGAACTCTGCACTGACACAGCGCGCTTTCCAGTTGCGTAGGCTGCGGCGAGGAGTGAGATTCCATGCCCATCCAATGTCGGCATAAGCGCCGCAGTAGCGTCCGAAAGTGAGTAGACCATATCCGAAGAAAATACCGCCTTTAATGAGGTGGGCGAGACAGCCATTGAGATAAGTGGCGTGGCAAATACCGCTGTAGCTGACAACACCGGTGGTTACACCAGCGAAACCCAAGGGGAAGGTAGTGCGGTCGAGGGTGAGTTTGAGGTAGTGTGCAATAGCTAAGCCACGCTCCTTCCAGGAAAGTTTAAGGGAAGAATAGTTGAGCTTTGCGAGGTGCTCTGGCTGGTCGTCATTGAGGGTCATTTCAGATCTGCGCGAGTCGGACGAAGCGGGAGAGTCAGCTTCGTCGTCGTAGTCGTGGAGGTGGGTAGTTTCGTAGAGAGGAATATTGTCATTTTCGGCTTGTGAGTGGTTTGAAGGGGGAGCGCGGTCAACATCCTCTAAAACGTTAACTTTAAAAGAGTTTAAGGATTTGTAGTTGGTGGATTTGTACCACGTCCAAGCTTTTTGAAGGAAACGGAAGCTGTCATATCCGGAGAGAGCGGCAATGAGGAATAGAGTGAACCAGCCAAGTTTACCGTGTGCGGAGTGAGAATATCTGTTCGTACGAGAGATTAGTAAATTGGATGACGTCAGGAGATTGGCTTACAAATCGGGCGTAAGTTTTTTGTAGATGGTGGAGAAGGCGGTGGAAGTGGAGATGGTAATGAGAAAGAGTAGATTGACTAAGCCGTATAGGCTGCTGTGAGATGCCTTCAAAGCGAGGGCTACTCGAGTTAGTTGGAGTGGATATAAAACTCAGGAACCCACCGAAAGGAAGCAAAATGGCAAAAGAGAAGGTCATACCAATAGCGTGCATAATCATCCAAGCGGGTTTAGACGAGTTATCAGATTCATAGTCGTATTCATAGAAGCTCATTGAATCAGCGCCGTGTTTGATCAGTATTTCTGTCTCGTTGAGGGATTCCATGGTCATAGTCATGGGCATAGTCATGGGCATATTATTGGTGTGATTGGCTGTGTGTTCTGCGTGTTCTGCATGTTCTGCGTGTTCTGTTGTGAGGTTTGAACTGATATTGCTATTTGATGGGCTATCAAGCTGAGCCGTAGTAACACCCGCTAAAGCAGATAAAATCGATAAAGATGATAAGATAAATTTAAATTTCATCTCCTCGTCGTTATGAAGATCCCCAATAAATGGAGCGCGCGAGATTTGAATTGGGCGCCGAGTTTTTAAATTGTATCATGATCACTGACAGGGAATTGGCAGATATTTTGACAGCGGAGGGTTTGGCGGGAAGGGGTGGTAGTGGCAGTGGCAGTGGGAGCACACATCCACCGCCTATCAATCAACGCTTTCTTCTTAACACGCTTAGATCAGTCGATGATCACAATAAGGGCGTGACTGGGAGTGGGAGTGGGAGCGGCAGTGCCAGTACCAGTGTCAGTACTAACACAAACACCAATAATATTCCCGGGGCCACCTCTCCAAATCACTCAGACCAACGCACACCCGACAGTAGATCATTCGCTGACTTCCAAAAGAAGAAGCGCAGGAGAGTGGATGATAAGCCATCTAAAAATTCTAGAAAAACCTCGAGAGAAACCACGACTATACCCTCGAAAATGGATAAATACTTTGAACACGACTATGATCCAGCCATTGATTTCACTCCTCCGGAAGACGCAAATGAAATGGATTTTGACGCATGGAATACCATGCTTGATACTATCGATCTGCGTAATAAACGGAGGCGGCAGCGTGAGGCTGAGCTCTGGGAGGAGGAGAAGCATCGTCAACGTCATCGCAGTAATCAGCAGCTAGGCAGGGAGAAGGCTAAAGTGGCTAAATTACTTGGACCAGATGCAGAGAAGGAGTACAAATCGCGTAAAAGGGAGGAGAAGAGGATAAGGAAGGAGCAAACGCGTGAGAGTATAAAGTTACAAGCAATAAATAGTGTGGGTAGCTATAATGAGGATAATAAATCAGATGACTTGTTCAATATGGAATATTCAAAGAAGGGATCAACTAGAGCATGGGATGTTGGTAAGGAATAGTTAGTTATATAGTTATATACATCTATATCTTATTCACAATTTCCTCTACAAAATATACATGTAATCTATAATCGCGAGTTAGTTCTGGGTGGAAAGTTGTGCACATCTTATTGGCTTGGCGCAGAGCAACAACGTGACCTTGTGGAGCAACAGAATGGTCTACTGGGTTTGAAGGGAGCGAGGCTAGCTCTATAATATTTTTATTATCTGAATATGAGTGTAGAATGGGTGCTCTGATGAAAATACCATTTACAGGGCCACCATTGATGCAATTGAAAGGGATGTCTTCCTGGAATGACTCCAATTGACAACCATATTGATTTCTATTTACTATCATATCCATTCCACCGAATAACTCCTGACCGCCTTTCTTTGTTTGACTGGCTTCCTTAGCGAGTAGAATCATACCAGCGCAAGTACCCCAGACAGCTGTGTTTGGGTTACTGCAGAATTCCCTTAAAGCGCCTAATAAACCGGATCTACTCGCCACCAAGGACATTGTAGTTGATTCACCACCTGGGATAATCAAACCGCAACAGCTGCGTAGCTCTTCAATGGATCTAACTTGAATAATATTATAATTTGAAATAGACTTGAGTATGTTACAGTGTTCTTCAAATGCACCTTGAAGTGCCAGTACTCCAATTGTGCTCCTTATTGACATTGTTGATTCTATTCATTCATCATGGGTGAGTTATTCTGTTGATAGATTTTAATTTTAATTTCCTAAATCTACATCTTACAGCCAACCAATTATTTCAAAATACACAGCCATTTGGTGATGGATTTACTTCACACGGCGCCGATTCCACTCAAGCAGAGGAAAGAGATAGCGTCGGTGAGATGCACACCCAACCCAGTGATCCCGCTATTCAAATTAACAGGAGAACCTCCGTCTCCGCTGAATCCATTCAGCCTAACAAGAATCCTGTTAATCCTCCCAAATCTCACATCCCCAAATCACCAGATCAGAAAGCCAGGCTACAGAAAGCTCTTGCAAAGAATTTCCTATTTAAAAATCTCCACGACGAGCAGTACGATGACGTACTCAACGCCATGAAAGAGGTACCCGTTCCGCATGGCAAGTGGATTATCGAGCAAGGCGACGACGGCGACTATTTCTACGTCGTCGAGAAGGGTGCCTTTTCTGCGTACATCCGCGAAAAAGTGGATTCTGAGAAAGTTGAGCAGCGTCAGGGTGACGTCACACCTCCTCAATCCTGTCCAGATGGCTACTTGCTAAAGAAAGTGCTTGACTATGGTCCAGGTGGTAGTTTCGGTGAGTTGGCCCTAATGTACAATGCACCACGCGCCGCTTCCATCCTCGCCACCTCCCCATCAACGCTATGGGCTGTCGACAGGCTCACCTTCCGCTCGATCCTTCTCAACCACACCTTTTCCAAGCGCAAACTGTATGATGCCTTCCTCGCCGAAGTTGGTCTCTTGCAATCGTTGCAACCCGCCGAACGCAGCAAGATCGCAGATGCACTTGAATCTCGCTCTTACGCACCTTCTCAACATGTTATCACACAGGGAGAACAAGGCGACGAGTTTTTCTTCATCGAAAATGGTGAAGCGGATATTATCAAGAGCGGTGTTAAAGTTGGTGCTTATCGTAAGGGTGACTACTTCGGTGAACTCGCCCTCCTTAATTCTGCTCCGAGGGCGGCGACCGTTGTAGCAAGTGAGTCACAGTCTACGGATGACGGTAGACTTAAGGTGGCTGCTCTCGACGAACCCGCCTTCACCAGATTGCTGGGCCCTGTCAGAGATATCATGGCGAGACATGCTGAGACTTACTGAGTGTGCACACATACACACCCGCACACTCACTCTCACGACCGATAACGCGATTACATAACGAGATAACAAGGGAAGAAAACAAGAAGAAGCCTGTAGTAGTCACATAGTCATTTACTTATATAATTACATAGTCAAGCTCATTTTATATTCCATTTCACTCCCCACCTTGTTCTTCTCTCTTGCACAATACACAAATGACGCACAATCTCAGCGCACACATGCACGATACAGGTGGGGGGTTTTACACGAGTGTAGATCTGCCTATGTTCCGCGTGAGTGAGCTTGGATTCTCGCAGCCGCCTACACACCACTCACACCAACCCATACCAGCTCGGATTCAGATACTATGCATGCGAAGCGTATCCAGAGAAGCCATCAGCGTTCCGCACTATCCCATACGCGGCGACAAATGTGGCCTTCTCGATGCAAGATCGCTCACCACACGTAGAGTTTAGCCGCGATCGCAGGAGTGTCCGTGCGAACACGGGTTACCGGTCCATACGCACGCCCGAGCCTATGCGACAGGGTACGTATTATTACGAGGTGCGCGTTGACCGCGGAGGCGAAGAGGTGGTGGTGGACAGTGGCAGTGGGCGTGATCGTGACGACGGCGGTAATGGCAGTAGGAGTGCTGCTACACCCACAAACGCCTCTGCAGAACCGCCAAACGCCCACGTGCGCATTGGCGTCAGTCGCAGACAAGCAGAGTCGGGCGCACCGGTCGGATACGATGGCTACAGTTATGGATGGCGCGACGCGAATGGACACAAGGTGCATCTCAGTCGCTCCCAGCGCTGCGCAGAAGGGTTCAAGACGGGTGATGTGGTCGGAGTGTTGGTGCATTTGCCACAGAAAGGCGACTCACATGCCAACACCAGCATCAGCATCAACAGATCGCGTATACCGATCAAATACAAAGACAATCTCTGGTTCGAGCTGCCTGAGTATGCGCAGAGCAAGGAGATGGAGCTGCTAATGGAGTTCGGCAGCGAGGAGGAAATACAGCTCCCGGTGGACCAGGGCGGAGGTAGTAATAGTAAGATGGGCAAACGGCCACCGAAAGGCATCAAAATACCCCGCATCCCTGGCTCGTTTATAGAATTCTACAAGAACGGTAAAAAGGCACATACACACCCAGCCTTCACGGATCTACTTGATTACACTCCCACACCGACACCTGCACCGCGTGAGCAGGCGAAGAAGAGGGGGAAGGACGCACCCGCACCTCAGCTCAAGCACGATATGGACTACGACGACGGTACATGCGGGTATTATCCGATGGTGAGTCTATTCGGCGGTGGACAGGCAACACTCAATCCCGGTCCTAATTTTGTTTGTCCGCCAGACACAGCGCATAGATATACCCCCCTCGCTGCGCGTTTCGAGGAATTCTGGTATGATGAAATGCGAACGCTAGACGACGCGGCGTGCGCGAATGCCCCCGTTTACTCACATCTCGACCAATACCAGCCACAACCTCAGCCCCAGATTCAGCCTCAGGCTAGTCCCCACACACTCCCGCAACCCAAGTCCGTCGACGACCCTCCGGCCAACCCCCTTCCAGGCGCGACCGACGCGACACAGAGCCTCAACCAGCAAGTGCACAGTGAGGTGGATGCGTCGCAGATTGAGACGCAGTTACAGTTGCAATTGCAGACACAGACGAAGGAGCATGTCGCACAAAACCACCTACAACCCAACTCACAGCCAAACTCAAATATACACGAACAGCGCACATTAAACGCCCTTCCACCACCACCGCAACCACCCACCCAGCTCTTTCACCCCACCTTCGACATACCGTATCCCATCGAAATACCAGATGCGCCGGATGTTCAGATGCACGACGAGCACATGGAATCTGACTCGGATTATGAGACTAACGGTAGCGCTGGGCGCAGGCAGCGCAGGGGTCACTGAGGAGTGTAATTTCTATTATTTTTTTATGGTTTTATTTTTATGTTGAGTCACTATCTACCACGCGACAACGCGACGCGGCCAGAAACGCGAAAGACGAAACTCGAAACGCGCTTCAAACTCGACGACGAGGAGAAGAAAAGTGAAAATGTATTCAGCGCGCGCGGAAAGCAGCAGCTACAAAGACAGCAAAGACGGCAAAGACTACAAAGAAAAGGAGAACTATCTGCCTACGCCAGAACCGAGCAGCGATGCAGGAGTGTATGGGGAGGGAAGTGCGTACGTGCCTGCGCCGGTGCACAAACCAGCACTCAAACCCATGCTTAAGAGAGGAATCCCGTGTATGGGCACAGCTGTCGGTGGCTTGAATGGTTTGGATGGTCTCGCACAGGTCGCTGGACTCGCTACACCTCCACCATCCTCGCCTGTGTCTGTGCACGCCGACATACAAAAGCAGGAGCAGGAGCACACTTACTCGGATTTTACCTCTATCGACAGCGACAGCGCCAGCGCGGAGAAGCAACGCGACGACAACGACGAACTGCTGACACGCGCCACACCAACCAAACCAACACAGCCACCTCAACCAGAAACACACATCCACGCGTCGCCCACACGCACAACGGTGATTGGACGCGGACGGCAAGACTGGCAGAAGGCGCAAGGGTGGCATGCGCATCTGCAGCAGACGGACGGCCGTGCGCGCCACTACGTGTTTCCATCCACACATGGCCACGTGAGCCGGGTACATTTGTGCGTGTCGCCGGACGCGCCGCACAACAGCTACACGGTGCACGTACTCGGGCGCAACGGGGTGACTGTCAACGGGCGACACATAGCCCGTGGTGCCAGACTGCGGATGGCGCATAGACGCGGAGGCGTCACTGTTAGCTGTCTTGTGCCGCACCGACTCGCTGCGAGGCCGCGGTACAAACTCGTCGCTAGGTCGCAGACACCCGCTGTCGATGTCGCCCTCGGACACACTCGCTTTGCCTTTCATTGGAATGACCTCATTCAGCCTAAATCTGTCCTTAGCGATTGCGTCAGTGATGAGAGCGAGAGTGAGGAGTGCGACGCGGACGGCGCCCGCGCAGGGCCTGCCACACCTACTAAGCGCAAGAGGGGCGGCAAGCAGGAAAAAAATGTGGTGAATAGTGTAGATGGTGCAGATGGTGTAGACAAATTAAACACGGCGACACACACAGAACACCCAAACACTCACAGTCACAACCACACTCACACACTTCAACACCTCGGCTTGGTCGCGCAGACACTCGCACTCAACGTGCCCACATCGCTCACACCCGTCACGGATATCGTCGGCTGCCTCCTCGCAAACAACCCCTCGCTGAAAGATGGTAGGGCGCATTGGGAGGAGATGGTCGAGCGCACACTCCTAGACGCTCCAGGCGAGATGTTTGGCTGCGTCGAACGCTCCGGTCGCGACGCCGCTAATAGACCCCTCCCTAACCTCTACTACTACCAGCCTGCAAATGACCCCGACAGAGTGCGCGCTCAGTCTCTCGCCCCTCTCACTCGCGTACCCCGCCTCGCTTCGCGCGCTTCACAAGCTAAATCTATCTTCTGGAAACCTGTCTCTGTGCGTCCGAAGAAAAAGTGGTAACTTTGTTATTTGTAGTTTGATTGATTGCTGATGCATGTATACATATATCTAGAACATGTCGTATGAAAAGTGTAAAGTATAAAATGTAAAATGTAAAGCTCAAGTATAAAGTATTAGTGAAACAGTAAAAGCTTTCAAATATGCTTATACGACAGTGCAGGGTCTTGACAATCAAGATTGATGGTAATATTCGACGTCGTCAGTTCACTAATGGGCGGAAGGTGATCACTAGAGTCGAACTTGTAAGCCACATCGACGCCCTCCTCTTGTTTCTTATTACGGTAGTGTCGTCTAAGCACCTCCTTTGTGAAAGTGCCGAAAGTCTCTTCAGGTGTTCCAATCTGTTCCCACACATCAGGCTGCATGAACACTGCGAAAGTCTCTCTGCTAACGTCGCCGACGGCATCTCCAAGTCTGACCTGACCGGGACCGCCACCGCGAACGCAATGTGGGGTAGCGTGCAGCTTACCTCCAGTGAGCAACTCGAGTGCTTCTCCAGTCTGAAATGCTAATGCGTTCTCCGGTATCGTCACCTTCACCACGTTGTTAGCCCGGTTACGAATGTAGAGCCCGGATCGCTCGTGAGGGTTTGCGATAGGCGTGTGCTTGTCGCCCTCCTCGAACATGTACATGGCGCTGACGAGGCCCGTTATCAGCGAGTGGTCGAGGTGCCAGCCGCACCAGCTGTCCTGGTCGTCGTCGTTCTCGTCCCCGTCGCCTGATGGCGGCGGCGGGTAGTAGTGCAGCAGGCGCGCTTTATGCGCGGATGAACGCGCTAGCATGCCCTCGAGTATGTCTGTCTTGTTGGTCTGGATTTGTAGCTGGGGAGAGACGAATGACTCGCATGCTCTGGTGAGCAGTAGTCCCACTGTAATCAGTGAGCTTCTTGGTGCGACTGTTAGTAGTGAATTAGTGCCCACCTTCGACCACAAACGATCCAAGCTTCTTGAATGATTGCTGAAAACCGTTTACTTCTGCATCCTCATCTTCGTTGGGCTGATGAGCAGCGTTAGTAGAATTGTATAGCTGCTTATTGGTAGCCCACCCATATATTACCCTTGTAGTACTCTGGATGCCTCCTCTGTATCGTTGGATCGACCTGCGGACGGTCGAGGAGGGGATTACCGTAGTAGCTACCTTTGAGAGTATCTGGCATGCCATTCTGGTTGTGTATCAGAATATGCCATTAGGACATACACAGTCTCCACCCACCATATACTCCTTGGCTCTCGACCAGCCGACTTGTGCGGTGTAAGTGGTGCACTGCACTGCGCCATACAACACACTCACAGCTAAATGAGCTCTCTTCATCGGCGTAGCGCTCCTTCTTCTCCTCAGCCATCCTGGCGAACTTGTTGGACAACTCGAGTAGCTCTTTACGCAGCCCATCAAACTCAGCGGGTAGATCAGTAATTATGATAATACCCAGACAAGACGGATCTGGCCCAAATGCTGCCTTGATACACGCCAGCAAACTGACCGTCGTTATTGGGCTGAGTAGCGCGTTGAATGGGATTGACACCGGATTGGCGTGCACCGGCTCGGATGAGGCGTGAGGCGGATGCGATAGCACGGGCTTTGTATTCGTCTGTGAAAATCTACGTTTAATATTGCTGTCTTTAATTTTGGTGATGAGAGTGATCAACTGAGGATGCAGAGCAAGCAGGCGTATTAAATCAGTATTGTTTATTAATCAATGCATTACAATGCCTGTTATTTTTACTTGTCCTCCTCCTTCAATCCAACATCCGTGCGGGCGTCTGACTTGGAGTCTGTAACGATACGTGATGGATCGATGGTGAACTTCAATCTACCATCTGCGAGCTGCTCTGCTCTGACTGCTTCGAGGTTATGCACAAGATGCTGAGCACCTGCGTCCTTGATTTGGTGTTCTTCGTGTGAGGTGCACACAGCGAGTGTGATTGCACCAGAAGCAACACCCGCTTTAATACCTGAAGGAGAATCCTCGACAACTAAGCACTTGTTGCAGTCGTAACCCAAACATTCAGCCGCTAAGAGGAATGGATCTGGGTGTGGTTTACCATTCTTCAAGCGTGGATCTTCAGCAGTGATGGTTACTTCTGGAGCAACAATACCTGCTCTCTCCATAGCACCGTATGCATAAACGCGTGCTCCAGAAGTAGCCACTGCGTAACGACCTTTAGGAAGACTGTCGATGAGTGCTCTTACACCAGGCAGGATCCTAACACCCATATCTGGTCCAAGGTCTTCATCCTCCTCATCTTCCACTGCCTCATCATCGACGGCGCTGTTGTTTTTGTCGAGTGAGAGCGGCTCAAGCTGTTTAGCGAGCTGACCGGAGCTGACTCTGCCTTCTTTACCCTGTGAGGTTGAATCCTTGCGTGTTTTGTCGATTGGAGTAAATGATCCAAACAGCTGGGCTTGTGATGGTCGTCTCGATGACGCAGACGATGACGCACGTCTAGACGAAGATTGTGAAGATGAGCGACTGTCACGACGCTTCTTGTACTGGTCGGCGTGGTTGAGGATGCTCTGCTCGAATTTCTCTACTTCCCCGTCGAGCTGCTCGTCTTTAATTTGGGGCTTCCAGTCTTTGAGGTTGTCTGAAGCTCTGCGTCCGTGAGTGGCCTGTATTAGTAGTGTTATTTCCGATTCCCTTTTTATTCAAATTCCGAAGAAAAACGTACCTCGATGACGGACTTGCGCGGTTGACCAATCTCATCGGCCACGGCACCCCAGGCGGCTTCAACGGCTGCGATAGAGTTTACAAGAGTACCGTCTGTGGTGGAATTAGAAGGTCGTGATTGGCTGAAGCTGCTATCCCAACTAACCCATATCGAATAGAACGGCATCGACCTGATTGATAGTGAGATATATGCGGCATTGAGGGAATATAATACTCACGATGAATTCAGCTGGTGCAGTTGATGACATTTCTGGGTTTATAACTTTTGTAGTTGGCGGTAAGTTGAAAAGATGTTAAGTAAGAAACATCGAATCGAATCCATGTGGAGTGAGATAGATGACGATACTTGTGAGGATATAGCGTGTGGGCGTGAGTGGGGCGCGTATATTGGGATTGACGCTGTATTTCTCCATGTCCCGTGCATCGTTTAAATTAATACGCTTGGCTGCGTAGATCTGCGTGACAATCCCTGGTCGTCATATCAGATCCTGAGGCTTGAAATCACTTGATCGCGTGTGTGGCCAGATCGAAGCTATCAGATGGCCAGCTGATTGGCTACAACTGCAAGTCCCGTCAAGATGCTTAAGATTTGGCGGAGGTGGCTGAGAGGAGCAGAACAAGATATACAAGAACCCCTCAACGCCTACGACAATCTCCTTTAATCTGGAATTCCACTCATCTCTCATCATTTCCCATCTCCATCGCCCATCTCTCCTTCAACTCAACTACCATGAGCGCTCGATCAGACGAAGAAGGCGAGGCTATACCAATGCACGGCGACAGGGACAGCTCTGAGGAGGAGGAGGACAACTCAGACGCCGAGAGGGAAGTTAGAGAAGGTTTCATTGAAGACGAGATGAACGACGACAGCGCAGAAGCTGGCGTGGATAGCGCCGAGAAGAAGAAGAAGAAGAAAAAGAAAAAGAAGCGTGCGTTGGGCTTATTGTGTGCTAGCAATTACTTATTCCCTCCATTCAGTCCGTAGAGCTTCAGAATTGCACGATGAGGAAGTCGATGAGGACGATTTGGACCTCATAGCTGAGAATACTGGTAGATCTAGGCGCAAGGATACCTCACAGCTACGTAGATTGCATCGCAGGAAAGGTGATGACACGGACGATGAAGATCTAGACGCTCAACATGACGACGATCCTAAAGCTAAAAGCAATCGCAATAAGGGCGTCAGTGACCTCATTAATATGTTTAACGAAGATCCAAGCAGCAAGCAGCACGACGATGACGATGACGACCTTGGCAATTTCATTGAAGAGGATGAGGAGGAGAACAGGGGCACCTCTGGCGCTACTGGGGACCGTAGAAAGAAGAAGAAGCAGAAGGCTCGCAAAAACCAGGGCAAAATCTCTGAACAGGCTGGTGTTGATCAAGAGACTATGGATGAGGTCTTTGAGGTCTTTGGTGATGGCACTGAGTATGCCTGGGCTATGGAAGTCGACGAAGACGAAGAATATGATGAAGCCAAGGCTGATACTAAAATGGCTGATGTACGTGACCTTTTTTTCACTCACACACCGGCTAACCAGACTACAGGTCTTTGAGCCTTCGGAAATTAAAGCTCGTCTTATGACAGAAGAGGATGAGGTTATACGGTATACTGACCTGCCAGAGCGTATGCAGCTCCTCACACCTAGTATTTACACCTCCAACGTTATCAGAGATCACTTTGCCACCAACCACGAATACATCCATCGTCTTCCAAGCAAAGACAAAGCGGCTGCGTGGATAGCTCCAAGACTTTCTGAAGCATCGCAGAAGATGTTCTTGGATATCGTAGGTCCCCACTACAGTTTGCAAGATGAATTCCTTCGCGCTGTGACAGTCGCAGTCGAGAACATCCAAAGCGGTATGGAGGTACCGTTCATCCATATCCACAGACGTGATCTTGTCTCTCACTTTGATCCCGCAAAACCATCTGTCCCTCTCGCACCTGACGAGCTCCGTCATGAATATCCAGCGGGAACAAGTGCAGTGTGGCGCAACAAGCACCAAATGAGCTTGCTGTCGAGGTCTGATCTCTGGAGAATTTACGATCTTTATCGCAAGTTCGTTTCTTTGCATATGCGTTTATCAGGTTTGGTGGAGCTAGCAGAGAAGGCTAATATCGTAGACACTTACCTCAGTAACACACTGATTTTGGCCGCGGAAAATGAGATTGAAGTCACTAACGACTTACACGAATGGCTGTTGGGAATGTTTCCTCGCGAGATCAAGATATTACAGGATGAGCAGAGATCGGTTTCTGAACGTCAATTTAAGAGACCTACAAAATCTTCCCCTTATGACCGCGCTAAGGGTATGCCATCAGCTGAGCTGATCAAGAGAGTCGTGCCTAGCGTTGCGGAGATTGTACATAATCTACAATCTCCAACAGGCAAGATATTTACTCCAGACACACCAGCACTGGGACAACTCGAGTTAGCTGAGACTTTTTCCACTGGAACGATCAGTCCTCAGATGTTGCTGTCAATGGCGAAACTGATTCTTGTTACAGACCTAGGTCGTGACCCACTAATCAAAAAGCACGTCAGAGATAGACTCACGAGTGAGGGTGTAGTGTCTGTACACCCGACTGAGAAAGGTTTGAATAAGGTAGACGACCAGCATCCATACAACCATTTCCTCTATTTAAAGAACAAGCCAATAGACAAGCTATCACAGGACTCGACGCAATTCTTGTCAATCTTGGAAGCTGAGAAAGAGGACTTTGTGACTGTATCAATGGGCTTCCATTTAGATGTACAAGAGGGAATCATTGAAAAGATTTACGAGGCTAGCAAGGGCGAGGATATTGGAGAGGCGTCAGACAGCTGGAATGGCTTTATCAGAGATGCAGTATCAGAAGCATTCGAATCTACACTACTCGATAGTGCGCGCAAGTACGTTCGCGAATGGTTGCGTGAAAAGCAGGAGGATTACCTTGCTCAACGCGTAACAGATCGTCTATCACAGCGCATAGAAGTTGCAGCCTACACTCCCAAAGATTATGAAAAGGGTCAGACGCCATCGGTGCTCTCTGTCTCAGCTGGACAAGGTGATCCTCGCAAAGATGCAATCTTGCTCGTTTACCTCGATGAGAATGGTCGTATGAGGGAGCAACAAAAGATAGATAACCTCGTTGAAGACTCACCGATGGAAGCATTTGCTGATATCATGACACGACGTAAACCACAGACTGTCGTAGTCGGCGGTATGGGTACACAGACCCACGGTCTCTTTCAACGTGTGAACGAACTCGTCAAGGCGCAGACTGGTGAGGAAATACCGCAGCAGTCAGCTGTCGATGAATGGAATATGCCGACTGGAGATGTCGATCCAAATGCAGGTCCTCAGTACGACCCAGAAAGTGGCACACCTGTGATATTGGTACATGACGATGTCGCTAGAATCTTCCAGCACTCCAAACGCGCTGAGGTGGAATTCGGACAACTGCCAATCACTGGAAGGTACTGTGTTGGTTTAGCTAGATATGTCCAGAGCCCACTAAATGAGTTTGCGGCGTTAGGAGAGGATATCACGGCTATTTCTATAGATCCTGATCAGAGGTTGCTATCCAAGGTGAAATTTTTACACGCTATTGAGAAGGCTATCGTTAATACGGTCAATTACATTGGGGTGGATATTAACACTGCCGTGCGCGATAATCATTATCAGCACCTCTTGCCGTTTGTGGCAGGATTGGGACCACGTAAAGCTCAGGCTTTAGTGAGAAGAATAGCAGCTAGGGTGGGTTTCGCAGGCCTTTAAAAAGATACTTTGCTAACCGGATTATACAGGGAGGTTACATAATCAATCGCTCTGAACTTGCACACCCAGATCTCATGTATCTGAAAGAGTTCACCAACGCAGTAGCTTTCTTGAAGATAACTCAGGAGTTCGATTATAAACATGGTGATGAAACGCCTGACACGCTCGATCAGACACGTATCCACCCTGAAGATTACGAACTTGCACGCAAGATGGCATCTGATGCGCTTGAATTAGATGAAGAAGATTTGGTGGGTGAGGCAGAATCGGCGGTCGTCTCCCAGTTGATGAAAGATTCAAGCAATGAGAGCAAGCTAGATGAGTTGAATTTGGATGACTATGCACTCAACTTGCTTCAATTTCGTCACGATTACAAACGGTCTACACTGAATCTCATCCGTAACGAACTACTCAATCCATTTGGTGACGATAGATTTGACTTCAAGCTACCTGAGAGCACTGAAATCTTCACTGCTTTCACTGGTGAAACTGACCAGACGTTGTCACCGGGTACGGTCGTTCCGGCTGTTGTCAAAGCAACTAAACCACAGTTTGCGTACTTTAGACTGGATTCTGGTGTCGATGCCTTTGTTAGCTCTGTTTATGCTACTGATGAGGGTGACATTGATAGACGTATGGATAGTATCTTCCCGCGTGGCACTACTGTGCAAGGCATGGTTCTCAATATAGACTATAACACTTTCCAGGTAGAGTTGTCTACGCGTCCGCAAGATCTGGCAATGGCGCCTGAATACCGCAAAATTGTTGCACAAGATGACTACTATGATGTTGCTCGCTCGCTCGAAGATCGTGAAAACATGTCGAACCGCAAGCAGAATAAGGCGAACAGAGCGCCAAGGGTAGTTGATCATCCTAACTTCCACAACTACTCAGCTGAACAGGCTGAGATGGTGCTAGAGAATAGCTCAGTAGGGGATGTGATAATCCGACCAAGTTCTAAAGGACCGGACCATCTTGTCGTGACGTGGAAAGTGGATGAGGATCTATACCAGCACATTGACGTTTTGGAGATTGACAAGGCAAACGAGTGGACGCTTGGACGTCTGCTACGTATTGGTAATGCGACATATACCGATCTTGACGAAATGTTAGTCATGCATGTGCAGCCAATGGTGCGCAAAGTAGAAGAGTTGGTTAACCACGACAAATACCATGGTCCAACGGAAGATGATATGGCGAAACATCTCATCGACTTTGTGAAAGCCAATGTAAATCGCAGTAACTACGCCTTCTGTTTGGACAGGAAGGAAGCAGGATCTTTTGTGTTAGGATTCATCGCTAACGCCACCTCCAAACTGAACAAGTGGAGTGTACAAGTGACGCCTGGGATGTATGTACTGAATGGTGCACATCTACCCACTGTAGCCGATCTATGCCGCGCTTTCAAACTACAGTATATGGATATACTCAAGAATCCACGTAGCAAGCTTGCGAATGGGGGTAAAACGCCGCTGCCGACAGCGGGTGCACACACGCCAGGACTTGGCGCACGCACACCTGGTCGCGGAGGTGCGTGGGGCGGTACACCAGCTGGTGGCAGAGCATCAGTGTGGGGTGGTGGCGGTGGTGGTAGTAGGACACCAGCTGCTTATGGCAGCCGCAATCCTGCACCTACACCTGCAGGTGATACTTGGGGCAACGCAGATAGTGGCTCGTCGTGGAATGCACCAGCTGATACTGGCAATAGCTGGGGCGTGACTAAAGATGAAGATGGCTGGGGTGGTGGTGGTGGCGCTCATGGTGGCTGGAACGCTGGAGAAGCCCAGGATAGCTGGGGTGGCGGTGGAGCTCAGGGTAGTTGGACGTGAAGCACACCACATCACGTTTGCGGAATCAGCGAGATAGAGAAGGTTTAAATTGCTTGTAAATGTAACTTATATTCTATTTTTCCAGTTATAAAAAGTATTTCGTGTGTGTCTTACGAAATCGTCGCCATGGTGGTGAGTCGGCGCTGGAGAAAGAGACATTGTGCTCAGGCAGCGGTAGAAATTAGAACTGCAGGTGCTTATCGAGGGAGAGAATGTTTCTGGGGTGCAGCCAGCAGATTTTGCAGAGCACCAGTTCTGGCTAGAGGTGGGTGGAGCAGGCGAGCGAGACGGAGAGGGCTGAAAAGCGGCAGATAAAATGCACAATGTGCCACGAGGTGCATCCAAAGAACATGGCAATTATTCCTTCAGTGGGTTGAGCGGGAATGGTCGGTGCTTGGAGTCAGACGCAGCTAACAAGGCTGGCAGGAGGAAGAGCAGCTGCCGAACACAAAAGAAGGCAACACGGCCAACTTGATATTCAAGTGCTCGTTCTGCGGCAAGACGTCGCACGCCAAAGTGGAAAACAAACGCAGCGAAGCAGTCAGCAGCGAGGACATAGACAACCACCGCTACAGGACGTGGCTCGTGCTTGAGTGCAGGAACATGGAACCAATAGGGTTCGAAGCGAGGTATGAATCATCGGGAGAATTAATTAAGCAGAGCAGGGAAGCTAACGGAGTACTTAGGGATGACAGCTACACGTGTTGCAGCGCACTGAGCGATGCCAAGTTCGCGGAGGTCACGCTCGACGGTGAGTGGAGTGACTACGACGAAAAGGTGGGTGTCACGCATCCGGATGTCAAAGCTAAGCGGTGAAAAGTCGGGCGAATCAGTTTCTATTGAGGGATACAAGGCTCGATTTGTAAAAGTCAAGTAGATTTCAAGTGTTTATGAATACGTCTGACATGCCTGACACATATGCGTGGCCAATGCGTGCATGAACCGAGAAAACGGGGTAGGCGGTCTGAATCCGCGCCGAGTATGCAACTGCAATACGATAGTACTCGCATGTATTTTTTATTTGCAATAAATCCCGCTGGCGTGAAGAAGCTAAAACACAGGTCACGTTTCACACTAAATTAATAATTCTGGAGAGTCCCGGCGTTGTCAGTGATGATCGACCAGGTTCTCAGACTTGCTTATTAATACGAATCCAAGCTTCTTAAAACGCAACAACCATGTCCACAGCAGAGAAAGGTGCCGCCAACGACCAAGGCTTCGTCAACGGCGACAATAGCGCCAATGTGCGTGTGACTACAGCCGTGTAACACAAGCTGACAGCGCTACACAGGCCAACGTATCAAGATTCATAACCCCAGGTGGTCACCCTGCGGATAGCTCTCAGGTGCGTGTTCCCAGGTGTCTTCTCCAGCGCGTGCTCACTCCAATCACAGCCTGCGTTCCCTATTTTCCACAGAAAGATTGCTAATCCTTCTCCACTCGGGTGTGTATTTCCTGGGAGCTGAATCGGTGGTGCTGGATGTCTGACTTTCCCGTACAGACTGACGGCTTTCGCGACGACCACCTTTATGCTTTCGTAGGTAAATGTGTGGTGTTGCTTGCCCATCTTACACCGCAACAGACTCTACAACATCCAAACGAGAGGCATCAGTGCACCAAACGTCGTTGTCGGCCCAGCGCTCTTCTACGGTGGACTGTGTCAGCTTCTTGCAGGTGAGTGAGAGTGATAGTTTGCACTAATACTGCTCACAGTATCTCTAGGAATGTGGGAGTTCACCACAGGTAACACATTCGCTGCAACTGCCTTCTCTACTTATGGTGGATTCTGGTTGTGAGTGGGGTGATCTAGAGTGTCCTATCAGCTTATAAGACCTTGTTACAGATCTTACGGCGTTATTTACATCCCATGGTTTGGAATCGAAGCTGCATACGAGGGAGCACCGGATGAGTTAGCTTCAGCGCTCGGTATCTACCTAATTGGATGGTTTATCGGTGAGTGAAGCATGAGAGCAGTCAAAAACACCCATGCAAACCCTCTAACGACGCAAATATTCAGTCACGTTCATGTTCTTGGTCGCCTCGCAGAGATCATCACTCGCGCTCTCTGGTGTCTTCTTCTTCCTGATGATTACCTTTATCTTGCTTGCGGCGGGTGAATTTACTGGATCAGTTGGTGAGTTTATTATGATTTGCTTCTATCTCGCTAAATAATGCTCTTTAGGCACCACAAAAGCGGGTGGTGTTTTGGGAGCAATAACCGCATTCAATGCTTATTATGTAGCAATGGCTGGACTGCTCACTCCTGACTCAAGTTACTTCACACTTCCTACTCTTTCTTTGGACTTTCCTAACAAGAAGAAGTAATTGGTCGCTATAAGATGTCTCGTGCAACTATTTGAGATAATCACAGCTACTTTACGATATGACTCACTAATAATCTTGATCTACAACTTTTAATGAATGTAACATTTTTGTACTTTGATGGCTGCAACTTTTCCTTATTCTTATGCATCTATCACCTATCTCTATGTTAGAGATCAATCAAATCAAGTAGATGAAATGTTCATAATTAATAGCTATACACCAATTACAACCAATTAAAAGCATTCATAAGCAAATCCCAAAATGTCCCAAGCAATTCCATGAAGTTTCAAGCAGTTTCAAGATTCTCAACAATGTCTCTCTATTCACTCAGTCAATTAGACCTTTCTTGTCTCTTTGATCTCAGCTGAGAAGGTGGTGATACTGATTGACATTGGTATTCAGATTCTGATTCAACTACCATGTCCAGGTCTTGATAATCAGAACCTGCATCATCCATGACAGAGTTGTCAATAGACACAGTTTCAGACTCAGAATCGTATTCGTACTCTGATTCAGAGTTGCTTAAAACTGATTCTATCACTGATGTTGTCGCCGATTCAACAATAGGTTCCACACTAGACTCAATACCTATCTCATCACTACCTTCCCCTTGTTGATAGTTAGTGCTGCCTTCCCAGCTCTGAGTGGTAGATGTCTGCGCACTATAGAAGCTTGGCGTTGGAGAAGTTTGTTTAAAAAAGTAGATCCACAGGTCATAGTTGTTGTTGAAAATGGTATTTATGAATGGCTGTTTAGGTATTCTTCAGCCACGAATCCTGAAACACGGAAATCGATGTCTTCATGTTCGAGGTTGTTGAATTAGCGTCAGCCCATATGATTGTACACGGCTTGGCTACACTCCTCAGCCCATATAATTGCACTATCTTAGACATGACAGCGATGTTGCTGGTAGAAAGTATGTACATTCCAACGACACGGGTAATGTTTGAGTTATGTTATTATTGATGTTACAACAATTTCTTTTTGTATCTCTTTCTTCTATCAATTCACCTCCTGTCTCATGATTGCAGCAGCTTCCACACTTTGATTCTCTTGAATTTTTCACAGCCGTAAAAATATCCTCATTGATCTGATTTTGCCCTTTTTCTGCTTTGTCTTGGTTTCATTTTGATATTCAGAGAGAGCGATGAGTGTATTTAGGAATGTTTGTTATTGATAGCTCTCTAGAGCCATTTAGAATCATTATTGTTGCTTTCAACGTGCAAAGCTCCGACAATTGCCGTTGTTAGGTCGCTTTGTTTCATGAAAATGATTTAGCATAAAGACACTATTTCAAGCATTTAAGATGATAGATAAAGCAATGCGTATGATAATAAGCGTATCCCTGCATCTCAAATCGCCTCCATCAGTCACACTTTCAATTACTCAGTACATCTCATCTCACAGCTCACAAAAAGCTCCTAAATATACATACAAGAACACTCAAGTCGCTCACATGTAAATATACACTCAAGCATCACCTTCTCTCCGCTATGTTTACCTAAGTTTTGCTCTTCACTCCAAGCCATCCACTTCGAACCAACTGCGTTTATTCAAAAAAGGACTAGTTTACAAGTAATGCAGGGTCATTGAATGCGGCTGTAAAGTAAGGGTGTCTGAGTGCGTCCTCACAGCTCAATCTTCTGATGGGGTCGAACTGGAGCAGTTTATCGAGGAGATCGATGGCTGGTAGGGTGTCAGCGTGATGTATCAGATAGAACAAAACACCAACCTAACGGATGTGCCTTAGGATAAAGGGTGTGCCAAGGCACCTTAGGGTAGCGTGGGAAGTTCCTAAGCTGAATTTCCGGGCTCTCAGCAGCGATCCTACGAAGTACGTCGTCTGATGGCGTACCGATGACCTTGATAATAGCGTTGAGTTGGTCGTTGTTATCTCTACCTCTAAACAGCGGCACGCCAGAGATCATCTCCGCGAGGATGCAGCCGGCACTCCACACATCTATGCTTGTGGAATACGTCTTGGACCCGAGGAGGACGTCTGGCGGTCTGTACCAGAGGGTGACGACCTCATTCGAGAAGGTGTTGACGGGTATACCGAATGCTCTAGCGAGACCAAAGTCAGCGAGTTTGAGCTCGCCGCGCTTGTTTATGAGCAGATTTTGTGGCTTGAGGTCGCGATGCAGGACTCGATTCTCGTGACAGAATCCCGTACCTTTAATTAGCTGGTATGTGAAACTTCTGATGGTGTTAGGCTCCAGTGCACCTCTGTCGCCGTGACTGTCCATGTACTTTTTCAGATCCTGGTCCATGAACTCGAATACAAGCATCAGCTTAGTTTCTGTGTGTATTACGTCATGCAGCCTGACTATGTTGGGATGTTTGAGCTCCTTCATGAGAGATATTTCACGTATAGCTGTACTTGGTGTGCCTTCTTCCGCGTCGAGGTGTATTTCCTTAAGTGCGACAATGTCACTCGTGAGCCTCGATCTGCCCTTGTGGACAGAGGCGTAGGTACCCTCACCTAGCTTCTCGAGTTGTATATAATTCTGCATATTTTCAGACCACTGTAATGGTAGTCGTCAAAGAGCACAGCGCTTCTCAACTGCTGTCAGCTTAGACGCGTCAAGCGATACTGAAATTGGAAAATATTAAAAATTCGGAAATAAAACAATGGACGCAAATGATCAGGATGAGCAAGAGGTAGAATACTGTATCTGTAAATCTAATGGCGCCGACAATCTGCCAATGATTTTGTGCGAGGGGTGAGTTTGGTGGTATGTGTTGACACACCGGCTGAAGACACTCACGGCAGCTGCGAAATGTGGTACCATCTTCACTGTCTGGGATTTCAACCTGGAGATGATGAGCTGATCGATGTGTTCGTCTGTCCCGGTTGCGAAGAGAAGACAGCGCAAAGGACGAGCTGGCGTAGGAAGTGCAGCAGAGAAGACTGCAAACACGCTTCAAGACTGCCATTATCGATATACTGCTCGGATGCTTGTGGAATCTACCTGATGAGTTTGAAATTACGTCAGGTGAATATACATCCCGAGTCTTTGGACGACGCAGCAGGTAAGATCGGCAACTACAACAATATTCCTTCGGTGGTTTTTGACGGCGATGGGAACAAGGTTTCCAGTGTAAGTCTTGCCGCTGAATCCAAGAAGGAAGACTGTTTGTCTAAGCTCTCCAAGCTCGCAAATCAGATAGAAGAATATACCAATCAAATTAGTCTACTCATAAAGCAAGAATCATACCATCAATTGGCGATATCACGCGCTAGTACTCTCTCAAACCATTTGCTCACTCTCAACCAGAACACTTCTCCCGTAAAAACAAAGTCGAGAAAGGGAGCCCCACCACCGCCCAAAGGATATTGTGGATTCGACTATCGACTGCTAGCAGATGACGATGAGTGGCCGGAATTCAACTCGCAGGACGTAGAAGCCATTCCCGTCGAGACGGATGGACTACTCTGCAACCTCAAAGAAAGCGCGTGCTCACGCCACAAGGAATGGAAGAAGATGATTGAGTATAAATTACAAGTTCATAGGTCTACTCTAGAAGCCAAGCAATTCAAATTACAATCAAGGCAGCAGGAATTAGTTTTGAAGGTGCGACATTTTGATAAAATTATTCAAATTAGCTTTAATATCTGAATTGATTATGTTGCTGTTGTTGTTGTTGGTAGAATTGCTGCTGCTGGTGGTGGATGAAGCGTTGGTGCTGTTCAGGTGTGAGAATGGGTGTTTGTGGTGTTTGCATGGATTGTACGGGTTGCACACTTTGCGCATGTTGTGGCTGTTGAGCATGTTGCTGCGCGAGATGTTGCTGCTGTTGAGTGAATGCCATCTGCTGCTGTTGTGCCATAAGCATCTGTTGCTCTTCGATAGCCTTCAATTCACTCGCTTGCTGCTGCTGCTGTTGTTGGTGTTGCTGTTGTTGCATTATATACGCCCTCTGCTGCTCCATCTGCAACGCTGCTTCAGCTTCGGCTTCCAATTCCGCATCTCTCTTAAGCTGCTCAGCGTGTTGTACCTGCTGCTGTCTCGTGAATGCACTCGTCGATGGCTCGTGTCCGTAGTTGTGCACGTCTACGTCACCGTCGACCCTCTCAGTGCAAAATCCACGCTGTCTAAGTACAGCGTCTCTTACACTATCAGCCACCGCTCTATTTTCATCCAGTACAGCTGTTTTATTGAGAACGTCTTCAATTGGTGCTGATTTGAGTGGTACGACATCTTCGAAATCCAAGTCCTTTGAGGCGGGTGAGTTGGGCATCTCACTGGCAACTTGGAGACACTCACAACTTCACCCATCAGTACAACGTTCTCTCCTCTAATCAAGTATAACCCGCGCGGTATATCTGCGTATTCATCCTCTGCGTGTATTCGCTCAACTGCATCATTCAGGACCAAATTGGCTGGGAATTGATCGTATGAGATTGGCGTACCTATGCTAAGATGAGAAAACCCACCGAATTGATCATATGATCTCAGCACGCCGAAAATCTTCCTGCCATCTCTAAGTGCCACCAGCATCTTCTCTTTGCGGGAGTGTGAGGAGAGTTATTATGAGATAAAAAGCAAACTAACTATCCACGCAGTTAAGCAGCTGCCCGGACGTCGTGAACGGCACCAGTGCTTCCATAGGCTAATTGGGTGTTGGGTGGGAGTGAATGAGAAGAGCAGTCACTTAGCAAAATCAATAAGCGCGTAGATATTGAAAATCAACTTAAATTTATTTCATTTCACATAAAATCTATAAAATACAAGTCTAAATGGCTAAATAGCCTTGTTAAATGTGCCGCAGGACATTGACGCATACAATCATGCGGTAGATGCGAAGATCACCGTTTGTCGCGTCACCCAAGTCCCGTTGCATTTTTTGCTCTCTGACGCATATACGACTGGCATGGTAACTGACTGCTCAACCGAAGGAGCTATCTATCAACCAGCGCCTGTGATTTGTTAGCTTTGTGCTGCTTCCTTGATTTGTATATTTCGACTCACTTTTTGAAGCGTCATTCTTCTTTGCGTTAAAGAGGTAATTCTTAGCGGAGCTCAAATTTATAATCCGCGAAAATCTTCACTCTAGACACCTTTCTCGGTCATCATAGCGCAGGGCGGAGTAACGCATCCATTAACTCCTTTCCAGCGATCCTGAACTCTGTCGCTAATCACACGCCACCCATCTTTCTGACATCACCGACCATGACTTCGCATACCAAAATAACGGATCCAAGCATATACACCAGATTACCCAGCCTAGCAGCAATGTATGATTATTTCACCACAGATGATCCACACATGCTTCATCCAGATATCCGTGTACCCACAGCGGTACTCGTAGCCTATCTAGCCTTAATGGTACTCTGCGTCCTGAGTTTAGCAATCCCACTGCCATCGCGTCAGCTCAAGATTATAAATCGCGGCCTAATGCTACCCGCAATCCTTTCCATATCAGCGTACATCTACCAAAAGTGTCTCTACTTAGACACAGCCGGAAACAGATTCTCTGTACCTAGCACCGCAGTAGTTAAGTATTAGCCGCGCACATCACTTCAAGCCCTTTAACGCTACTGCAGGCTTCACCTTGCGTGCGATCGACACACTCCTATTTTCAGGCGACCCACACAAGACATTCTTTCGTATAGACAAGCCCCACCCGCCCCGCACACTGCGCGAGGGGCTAGCATACTCTTTTTCCTTCTGGTTCACCTTCAGGGGCATCAAGTGGAATTGGAAATCGCGCAAGACGCCTACTTGGAGTGAGAATAACATTCCCACCCGCACGCAATTTATACGCATGCACTTGCACAATTTGGCTTGGCGCTACGTCTTCATGGACGCGCTGGAGACGTTTCTTCGCAAGACCGGTTTCCTAGCATACCCGCCCCTGCTGATGAATGACTTGTCTTTGTTATCGCCACTGAGAAATGCAGCTGGTTTGGCACACGGTGTCCTTCTGTGGCAGGTCATTGATATGACTTACTCACTCTTTGTCATCCCTTGCGTCCTTCTTCGCATCAGTCATGTCGACGAATGTCCCCCTCAGTTTGGTCGCTTAGCAGACGCTACGACTCTAGCTGCCTACTGGGCAACCCTATGGCATAGCAATTGGAAAAAGCCTTTCGTTGGTGTGTCATTAGGTGTTACTAGATTCTTCAAGTTACCCGCCATGTTCGGGGTTTTTGGTACTTTCATTATTAGCGGTATTTTTCATTCTCTTATTGCCTTAGCTGCGCATGGAGGTGATATACGAAGTTGGTCAGGCGCTGGTGCGATGCTCTCATTCGCCGTTCAACCTATTGGACTCATTGTAGAGAGGTGTTTCATGTCTCACATTCTTCCACTCCTTCCAATTTCTGTCAGGAGATCCAAATTATTCAAGTCGTTATCTTATCTTTGGGTCACACTCTGGCTGTCCACCACAGCTAGTTTCGCATTCGACGAAGTCAACCAAGCCGGTTTAATGGCGAAACCACTTCTACCCTTCTCGCCTGTGCGATACATCCTCGATCAGATATATGCTTAAATAATAACCATTCTATAGATCTTTCTAAGGCTTTTCTACAATTTCAATCCTGATGCATTCTTGCCTTCTTCACTATTACCCTTCTTCTTCTTAGCGTTGGCCTCTCCCTTTCCAACAACAGTGACTCCTTTGCCCTGTGAAAGTTTCTTGAGAGCATCACGCTTCTCATCTCCCACTGACATTCTCTGTTTGCGCGATTTGTCGTCGACCACATTTGCAATCTTAGCTCTATCTTTAGCGCGGGATTTACGAATCCTGCTACGTTGAGCACGTTTCTCCTCAGGTGCCATCTCTTCCTTAGACACATTACCGAATCGCGGACCGCTGTAAACTTCCTCAGGAGCTGCGCGACTAGCGTTCGATTGTGCAGTCGGCAGTGCATTCTCCAGACTAATAGATGGGGTGTTAGAAACTGTCTCAATCTGCGCCTTTGGTGCTGGTGGAGTGAAGTGGGCGTTAGATAGCGCGTCAAGTTTCGAAGAGAGCTGGTTCCACATTTCATCTATCTCTCGGTGCTCCTTGGTAAGTTTTTCGTCATCATTTATAGTGTTGCCCGTGTGCTCATTTGCGTAGAGATCTCCTAAACCTTGCGACGATTGTTGGTCACTCAACTCGAAAAGCCTAGATGGGAGGAATGGTTTTTCGTTCACTTGACTCACCCTCTCCACATCGTTGAAGTGCTCATTTATTATACGCTGCTTGATTAAATCTTCGAGCGTCGATTGCTTCTCTTCAGTATTCTCAGGCGTAATTTTGTTGATGGTTTCGAAATCTAAATCTTCAGCTAACAGACTGTTTTCCGGGCGCGCTTTAGACGAGACTTCTCCTTTCAACGTCCATTCCTTCGCTGCGACATTCTCATCTTCGAGATCGGCTATTTGACGTGCGAGGGCTGTTCGTCTGCGACCATGAGCAGATGCAGGTGCTAGGGTAGTGTGAGCATTGATGTAAATATTAAAATGGTAGGAGGACCCACCTTCATCTCCATCTTCTTCCTCTTCTTCCTCGGCGAAGAGATCAGAGTTGAACTTCTCCATAGTAGCGTTCTCTGGATCATCTCCAGCTTCACCTTCCTCTTCCTCTTCCTCGTTTTCCTCAGCTTGCTCATTGTCGTCGCTGTTTTCCTCGTGGTCCATCTCCTCGTCAAGATCCTCCGCCTTCTCACCAAGAGCGTCCTCATCAAGCATATCGAGATCTCCATTCTCAAGATCGTCTGCATCGTCGTCGAAAGCCTCATCACCTTCCTCATCATCATCAGCGCTATCATCATCGTCATCGTCGCGCATGCTGCCTTTGCCTGGAAAATTGTGAGATGGACAAGTACAAGAGTGTGTCACCCACTTTTGTTCTTAATTTTTTGCACTTTGACGGAATCATCGAAGCGTACAGAAGATCTCCTTTTCTCCCTTTTCTCCTTCTTATCCTTCTTTTCTTTCTTATCCTTCTTATCCTTCTTATCTTTCTTGGCATTGGGTTGTGTATCAGCGAGAGAGTAGCTTGGAGGTTTGGCATGAGACCATCCTTTACGAGGTGGAGCGAAAAAGTCGTTGAAGAAGACGTCGTTTGCATTCTCGTCGTCATTCTCTAGTTGAGCTGCAGCCTCAGGGGAGAAGATGTCGACGTCCTCCTCTTCTTCACTATCTTCGTCCTCATCATTCCTCCTTCGCAGACGATCGCTGACCTCTTGATCTTCTGTCATTCTGTTGAAATCGTCTATGGAAAAGAAAGCATCATCAAGCCCCCAGACATCCTTCTTGGGCGGTTTGCCTGTGCTCTTCTTTCCTGCGGTCTCCTCTTCATCACTGCTATCTTGTTCTTCGTCGTTGAGTTTCTGATAACTGATTTCACCAATTGTAGGGTCGTCTTCACCATCAAAACTTGATTGGGAGCTACTTTCGTCCTCCTCGGCGTCATCGCTCCCGTCATCATCTAACAATCCCTCTGCTCTCAAAGCTTCAATCTCTTCTGGTGAGAGATCATCCAAATCGATGTCTTCCTCTTCCTCATCTTCCTCGCCGTCGATAGCATCCTCGTCATTATCGTCTGGAATATCAGTCTGATCACTTGCGTCTACCAGTCTCTCCACCAAATCGCACATAACCTTGGCTCTGAGATCGAGTTGGTGGTAGATTTGATCATCGTTGAAGCCATCGATAAAGAGCTCATCTAAGGGAGTTTCTTCGATCTCCATATGCTCTTCTTGATCCGCACCGCCTCTCTTCCTTTTCTGCTGCTTCTTTTGGCGAGTTTCAACAGCGGGAATTTTGAAAGTTTGGAGGATATCGTTGATGTACTTGAGAGAATTCTTTTCGTCTTTAAGTCCTGTGGCCTTGTCAGTGCCGTGTTGGGCGAGTGCAAATACTCCCACGCACCACGATCGAATAATTCTTTACTGGCTTCGAGTGAGGAGTGCTTGAGCTCATCGTCGCCGTTTACGAAAGCGCCTGATTTTGTGGATAATATATTTATGTAGTTATCCAATATTCCATTCCGTGCCATCTTCGCGGTACTTGATAGAGATGTGAGGGAGGTGAGACGCGGCGTAAACCCAATCGCTTTCTTAATTTGATTTGCGTTCCTCTAAGAAGCGTACATCTTAATCTCCAACTTCCAGCATGTCATCAATCAGAGAAGCGACGCACGCAGGCGCCTGGTACTCAGCCAATCGTGGGTATATCCAACGAATCCGCTCGCTTCTAATCGCCACACAGCATCCACGCTCACCAATCAGCTAACTGGCTGGTTCAGCGATGCAGCCGACGCAGGCGTGACCAGCGATCCGAAATGCAGAGTGGTAATTGCACCGTCAGTCTCTTCGGCTAACGAAGCCCTGCGCCTCCAAAGCTAACCCTGCACACAGCCACGCTGGCTTATCTTTCAGCGGTCGCACAGCAGCGCACGCATACTCTGCGGCTACGCTGAGCAACTACAAGCGCATCATTATGCTGGGGCCCAGCCACCACGTCTATCTCGACTCCTGCGCCCTGTCCCCTTTCTCCTCCTACGATACGCCTTTCGGTCCGCTCAGCGTAGATAAGGGAGTGAATGACGATCTGGCCAAGTGCGGCGCGTTCAAACGCATGAGCAGATCTACCGATGAGGATGAGCACAGCTTCGAAATGCATACTCCGTTTATTAAGACCTTATCTAGGGAGTGGGTACTTTTTCCGACACATCCGGCCATTTCACTCATAATGCAAAAGACACGATATAAAAATCGTCCCAATCCTCATTGGCAGTCTCTCGCACGAGCAGGAAGTGGAGTTTGGCGCTTATCTGTCCAAGTACATCAACGACCCTGAGACACTCTTCGCTATTTCGTCTGATTTCAGTCATTGGTGGGTGCTTTCGACACAAAACGCTTTATCCTGACGTCTCATGCCTAGGGGATCGAGATTCAGATACACCTACTACAGACCATCGCCCTCCTCAGACGGACGCAGACTAGCGAAATCAGACAGCACACATAAAGACGAAGATGCTGTACATGAGAGCATAACAGGGTTAGACCACGAGGCATGGGATATACTCAGTGGTGCCCTCTCCAACCCCCAACGCTCACATGAAAACTTTACCAAGTATCTGCGCAAGACAGGCAACACCATCTGTGGAAGACATGCGTTTGGCGTGTTGCTGGGTGCAATCAGACATGCAAACAAAGATTATGACGGTCATGTGCAATGGACGCACTACTCTCAATCCTCCAAGGCACTTTCCGCCAACGATAGCAGCGTCAGCTATTCTGGAGGCTATATGGCATTTTGATCACGTTTCCTGGATATGTCAATGTAATGTGTAATTCAAATTTATATCTATACAAGAGTTGTTTGGCTACAGAACTATAGCTGCTACAAGTTAATTTCGTAATTTAGGATAAGTTTGTATCAACGAGATTCCATTGAGTCACAAATGAGTATTATAAATAAGTTTGCTTTATCTGGTAAGTTGCTGAGTCTATTGTAATTTTAATTGAGTATGCGCTGAAAGTAGTGAAAAGTTTGACTTTAATGGTAAGATTTAAAGTTTCCACTAATGCATAATGTCTACTTAGTATGGACGCTCTTCATAAGAGCGCTCAATGCTTCACTTCCAAATTTACCCTTAGGATAGCATATGAAGAGTGGTTGATGTTTTACATCGAATTTCTCCCTGAATGCACCGCGATTGGTGAGTCCAGCAGCCGAAACGATAGAGTTGTACATCTTGGACAACCATGCCATCCTCATACTGCTTAGATTGTGCGTCGGAATAAGCTGATCAGCGGCACTTATTCCGAAGCTACAATAGAGCACGCCTTGCGCTTGGAGTGACTCGAGGACATGATGCAACTGGTGCTCGCTCACGCCTCGAGGCGCGTTAGGGAACACTATCGAGTGTTCGATTTGATGACAACTTGATGAAATTTTCGATAAAACGGTGAATCCCCATATCTAGGATGTGCGTTAGAGCGATACAAACAAGTTGAACTCCTACCCACTTTCCTAGAATCTCCATGACGCGCGTAGAAAAGACGACGATGATTAAGATCGACCCATGGTTGCAGGTCTTGAGTAGCGATCTGGATACCGGTACGCTTCTTCTTCCAATCGTGAATACCTTGTTCAACAGCCGCTTTGTCGCTGTCTGAGATTTCGTGCACCTCATCCACTACAATTCCTTCTTTTATCGATCTGCGTACATTGCTACGAACATCCCTAGAACGCATGAGGTTGACAGTGGATAAGTCGACAATGTCCTAATAGAAACAGTTCAGCTGCAATACACCTATTTAACGCGCAACACACCTGTCTTATACACGATAAACTCGACCAATTGAGATCAGGCTCAGACAAAACGCGCTCAAATTCCTCCCCGACGCATGTCCACACACAAACTAGCCCATTGGACTGGCAGAAATGGATAAACTTTCTCGCGACAGTTGCCCAGCGTGATTTGTCGCAAATGGGAGATCCCCATGCAATGACATAGTCCTTGTGCTTCGTGTATCCCTGTATACCTTCCCTAACGTTGCCCGTGTCATCCTCGTTATCGTCCTCGGATGAGCTGCTCTCCAGACCGTTAGCATCCATTTTGGTGAACTCCTTCCAAATTTCATAACGCTTATCCAACCACGAAGGACCGGCTGGCTGGTTGTAGCTGTTGCTGATACTATCTGCGATATCTGACTTCATTTGGTATCTGCGCTGTTTAATGTGAAGATACAAATTTCGGCTCCATCGAATACGTGCTAATTTTTTTGCCTATGATTCATACGTGATACGCAGTACCGTGCAAACGAAGAATTTCAAAGTCTTTGAAGAAATCGTATTTATTTTGCTGCTCTCTCGCACACTCAATTCCAATCCCACTCCCATAAGGATAAATTTTCCTTTAGTTCCTCCCAATGACTTCATCTCACCTCGATCAGCACAGTGATTATCCGAAGAGCTTGGCTGTTTGGCGGACGCATTGGAATAAATTTACTTTTGCTCATTTTCTACATGAGTTTTTCAAGTTAATTTTCCCCGTTCATTCCTGCACCAGGGTACCCATTGGAGTAATGGTAACTGGCCGGTTAGCAATTCGCAATAATGTAACCTGTGAAGTTATGTCCGCTAGCCAGCTACATGCGCCCAACTATATCCCCACATATTTATAATCAAGCTGCTTACGCGATTGCAGTTGGTGCCTCGCCAGGCTCAGCACCGCTATTTATAGTCATAGGATGGTAGACAGAAAAACACTTCTAATATCTTCTTATTGCTTCATAAAATTCTTTACACTACCATATGGGAAAGCAAAAAAGCAAGAAAATTTATTTAAAACGAAGAATATTGTACTTGTGTTTAGAATGAATATCATGAGTAATAGCACCACTACTGATTACCACCAGCACCAGCCGCTTCTTTCTCCTTCTCCTCCCTCATCTCAGTTTCTTGGTCTGGCGTAGCCGGGATATCAAATCTGTCTCTGACCTTCTCGAACTCTTTAAGCATCTTTCTGCGTGCACCCACAGCTGCTACACCCTTTGCTTCCAAATCTGCTCCACACATATTCACCATTTCCTTCCAGTTCGACTCCTGGAAATTTGGAGTATACTTGTGTAATCTAAGCACTCTGAGCCAAGTAGCGACGTCATTGAGCACCCTCTCATCTACCTCCTCCTCGCTACTTATGGTATTGTTACGCTGTCTTGATTGGGTTGATATAGACCTTTTGTTGGTGGCTGTTTGGTTAGGTGGTATACCCAGCGATTGTTGATTGAATGACTGCTTGTATGGAGATGGCATTCTGCTCGCATTGTTCCCACCAAAAATTCCCAATCCTGGTCCCGCTCTTACGCTCTGTTGTTGCTGTTGAAGTCTACCGAGAGCGAGTTGCTGTTGCTGCAACAATTGCTGCTGTTGATGCAAGCTTTGCAACTGCATTGTTAGCAGTGGGTTGGAAGGGTTAGGCGACGTTGGCGCGCTAGTTTGTCCAGGTGATGACAAATTGTTTATTAATTGCTGCTGCTGTGCTAGCAATTGTTGTAAATTCTGATTGTTATTCACAGACGTCCCGCCTGGTGTCAATAAACCATTGTTCAGTGCACCATTAGTGTAGTCATCTTGATTTTGCGCTGCATTGATATCATCATAATTAACTGATTGCCTAGATTGACGACGGAATTTCCTCGCATCATCTAAACGTATGGCTGAGTTATTCGTGTTACTGTTGTTACTGTTGCTACTGTTATTGGTTACGCTCGCGTACCAATTTTGTAAATCTGCATCAAATTGATTTTGGTTTCCATTTCCACTCCCACCCATTGGGAAGTTGCTAATCGATGGTGTGTTGACCATTGAGGACCAGTTGGCAGATTGTTGCAATGGTGATGACATATTAGCATTAGCTTGTGCTATTGCAATTGCTTGATCGTCTGCAAAGTCCTGCACTGAATCAGACCTAACAAATGATCCAGAATCGGATGATTTTGGTCTGACATCTGACGCAGCTGATGGCGTTGGTGAGCGTCTCTCTTGCACTTGCTCAAGCCCAGAACCTCTTTGCCAACTTGGTGATCTAAGATTATCAGTCGATGATCCAGCACCGATAGTTCCAGGTCCAGGTAAATGTCCTGGAGCTGACGTTCTCTTGGAGTTGAATCTTTGCCTGTGTGCATTTAAAGCGTCGTCCGGCGATAAATGATGTTCACCAGCAGCCAGTGACTGACGATTAATTGCAGCCGCTGTCATATTTGGTGAATTTTTTGCTGATATACCTGATACAGCTGCCAAATTTGGTGACTTGAATGACATTCTAGACATATCAGCTTCAAGTTGACCGTCAAGGTTTGCTCCAACGGAAGGACTGAAAAGTGCTTGTGAGACAGGATCAGAACGGCTCATTTGTTGGAGCACGGTGATGAAGAATCTGATCTGCATCTGGAAATATGTGAGAATTGAGAAAGGCTGATGCTTATAAATACCCAAACGCACCTGAGAAGAATGCTGTAAAAGCGAGTAGAGAGCTGCGGTTCTTTCAGCCTCGCTGAGAACTCTGAACCACTGCTCAATAGCAACGAGCTCCTCTTTAAAGTTCTGGTCGAGGGAAGCAGCCGCCATTTCCTCGAGAGTTTCTTCATAGCTGCCTAGATTCTCGAACCACTGATCAAGAGCATCTGGGCTGGTCATGCCTAAACCGGCCGAACCAGGAGGCAGCTGGGCGGAATTAAGAAGCTGTGATTGGGCTTGAGTCCAGCCACTACCGCCGCCGTGTGCCATCTCAGAGGCTGGTCTCTGTACACGTGGACTGGCAGGGGATTTAGAAGCACCAAAAGTCTGTCTGGCTGGATTATTTCTAGCATATTGAGCAGCCGATGATCTCTGATATGCAGCAGCGTTCACCGTCGTTGGGCTCGGAGAACGCGAGTGTGATCCATGTACATTTGGGGGATTTAAGCTTGAATTTGGGGGTGAGGAAGGTAAAGAGAACCTGTTCTGTGATGTACCAGACATTTTATTCAGTTGGTATATTTAAACGTTCAACGCAGCTGTGAAGGAGCGATTGGGCCACTGCAGTCGTGAATTCGGACATATTTCAATTTTCAAAATTTTAGACTTGTACAAATGCTCTATATACTTCTAGTGATGAACTTGAGCTTGATTTGATTTTTATCCCCGCGCCTGCTCCTACAAACAACACGTCTCCTGTTTTCATTGTCTCGCTTTGACCTTGGTTTTCGACGAGGCCAGTTCCGTCAACGACCGCAAGGATGCTAGGTCCGTTTAGCGCATCGTGTTTTGTAGACTCGCCTCGAGAAAGTTGCACTCTAGCCACGCTGAACTCCTCAATCGGTGGGTCGTACACGATCGTGTGCGCCGCCCCTTTAAGGGAAGTCGTTTTCATTAACTGCGCATCGGCAGGAGCGGTCTCGTATGTCAGCATATCGACGAGCGTATTTACATCTCGCAGTTTTGGCGTTAGTCCCGCTCTAACTACGTTGTTCGATGTCGCCATACACTCCATGATATCACCCGCGATATACGCGTGAGGGTCGTCTGCTTTGAGGAAGACGCTCTCGCCCGGCTTGAGTTGGACTACGTTGAGAAGGAAGGTGCAGAATATTCCAATGTCTCCGGGGAATTGATCGTTCAGAGTGAGGACGAGTTGACGGACAGCATAGATGGAGTCACCGGCAATGTCTTCGTGTGTCTGGCTGGTGTATCTTGAGACAATGGCTTTGGTGAGCTCAGCGATCTTGTCTTGTGGTGCCGACATTACACCGCTAAAGACCCTTTTGAGAGCATCCTTTATTTCTTTGTCTAATGAGGCTGTTTTGAGATCCTGAACGTCTTTCTCTTCAACGAATGCTCTAAACTCCTTGACGCTATCGAGAAAGTGCACAATCTGCTCCTTTGGTCTGAATCCACAAAATCCTTTGAATTCAGTGAGTGCTATAGCCATTTCTGGCTATGGGAAGTGTGTTAGAGTGGGATATGCGCAGACCGAGGACAAAGTACCTTATGATTTGAGTCTGAATTGACATAATCAGTGAAATACTACATCTTTTACGCTCCACCAACCTTTGTAGACATCCGGGCGATCTTTGTGCAGCTGCTCTGCAAGTCTTTTGTTCGGATGAGCCTGTACGCTCAACGCTTTCTCGATAGCGAGCACTTTAAACAGAAATGGCAGCCCGCCATCGCATGTTGTCTCTTTGAAAGCCTGCTTCACTTGATCTCCAACGAGTTGCGGGTTGCGCTGGAGATAGTGCGATAGCTTGCTTGATGGATCGTTGGCAAGATAGGCAGGCGCCTGCTCATGCGTACCCATCCACAGCTAAACCCGATCAGCATCACTTGCTCTCCCTCTCGTGAACCTACGAACCCACTTCAGCGTATGGCTTATCTTCTACCTGAAAACCCGGTATTGAGACCTCAGCGAAAGCTGCAGCTTTTGACAACTTGCCAACTTTGCCCCAATCGTAGGATTGAATGCCTGGAATAATTTTAAACACACTGCTGCTGTTCATCGTCGTCGTACGGATAAGAAGCCGGTGAGCCGATGACGATGACAATTACAATGACAATGACGATGGCATGACGCACCCATAGTATTATAATTATTAGATGCATTCATTTCAAGTAGTTATAGTAATTGAGACTGAGAATATAAAGAGTGCGTCGGAGAGTTCTACATGTGTTTGGTCAGATGAGAGAAAGAGAGGTGTATTTGGAGTTGAGCGTTGAGTGGAACGCGTGTGCTTAGTGCTTCGATTTCTGCTCTTTCTTTTCATCTCCATTTTCATGCTTTATTGTCAACTTGTTTTGCAACTCAGTCTCGACTTCCTCTTGAACAAAGTCTATGGTATTCCACCTAGATGCTCTCTCCACAGCTCTGTTCCACAATCTGTAGACTCTTTGTCGTAATTTCGCATCGTCGTGTGGTGCAAAGAAGACGTTACCGGCAGTATTCACCAGATCTAATGTCTCAGGTTTGGTCACGTCCCAGCCCCACAACTTCAATGCTGATCCTGCCATAATAGCAGATCCTAATGCTGTAGACTCTCTCATCGTTGGTCGCTCGACTTCGACACCCAAGATATCCGATTGTATTTGCATCGCCAAGTCTGAATTGGTCATACCACCATCAACTCTAAGGATGTGGATGTTAACGCCTGAGTCAGCGTTCATGGCCTCGAGGATAGCTCTAGTTTGGAAGCAAGCTGCTTCTAGTGTAGCTCTAGCGACGTGAGCCTTTGTGGTATAACCTGTCATACCTAAAGGGACAATTTAGAATAACTGATTTGAAGAAATAAATTATAACCAACCTATCAAGGTACCAGTAGCAGCACTGTCCCAGTATGGTGCGAACAGACCACCAAATGCAGTAACAAAGTAAACACCACCAGTGTCGTGCACTTGCGCAGCGAGTTCACCAATCTCGGAAGCACTGTCGATAAGCTCCATATTATCACGTAGCCAAGTAATGGCAGCACCAGCGACAGATACTGAACCTTCTAATGCAAAATGAGTTGGGTAATCGGGTCCAGCTTTGTAAGCGACAGTACTGATCAAGCCGTTTTTGCTATATTTGACTTCTTCACCAGTGTTAAAAAGCAAGAAAGCACCGGTACCGTACGTATTTTTAGCTTCACCTGCTCTGATGCATTTCTGACCGACAAGGGCAGCCTGTTGATCACCAAGCATACCAGATATAGGAACACCGATGAAAGGACCGTGGTCAATGTTACCGTAGACTTCAGAAGAGGATTTGATTTGGGGAAGGATGGACGCTTTGAGTCCAAAGAAATCCAAAAGGGATTGGTCCCAGTCACAAGTCTGTAAGTTGAAAAGGAGAGTTCTTGAAGCGTTACTAATGTCGATGTAGTGGAAACCTTTACCAGGACCACCAGTGAGGTTGTAAAGGTACCAACTATCAATAGTACCGAAGCAAAGACGGTCTTCTTCCATGGCGATTCTGACGTCATCGACGTGTTCAACGAGCCACTTCAACTTTAAACCGGAAAAGTAGGTAGTGAGGGGCATACCAGTTTTATCTTTTAAGATATCAGGGCCCTCGTCACCTGACAGCTCTTTAATCATGGTGTTTGTACGTGAATCATCCCAAACGATGGCGTTGTAGAGGGGCTGACCGGTATGGCGATCCCAGACGAGGGTAGTCTCACGCTGGTTAGTGATACCGAAAGCCTTCACAGCATCGAACGTGATTCCCGCGGCTTCCATTTTGTCTGCAATACAATCCATGACGATATAGACGGATTCGAGGAGGTCGAGTGGATCTTGTTCGTGCCAGCTGGAAAAGGGGTGAGCGGGGATGAAAGGAAGGCGGCCAACTAACCCAGGATAAGGATAATGCTGTGGATACTCAACTTGGTGCATTAGCGTTGGCGTGCCTTCAATAGGGTAAGCGGGTGATAGACTGTATACGCAGCAACCCACCAAACTTATCGAATAAGATGCAACGAGTGGAGCTGTGGGGACATTAGGCCTAGTTGATACACCACGCCAATCAACTCACGTTGTACCTGTGGAATACGTTAGATTGATAAATACATGTTGAGTTGAGAAACTCACCCGTATCAATCGCAGCAACAAACTCAGTCATTCCGTCGGAGTTTAAGTTTGTCTGTTCTTGAGACATAAATTTAGTTTTATCAATCCTCGTTGGTGGTTGAGGAGTGCGTGGGTGAGCCTTGGGTAGCCAGCTATGATGTAGCCAATTGAAAAAATTGGATTTATTCGATTATTCCGTATGTGGCCTCTTCATTGCCTTTATATTCCCGTAATTCCTACGTCTCGTCTGTATCCCTGCATTCGTCATTCCATACGCCGATCTGCAACCATTCCCGGGAAAAAGCACGCGGCAGGTCACCCGTATGCATACAATTAATAGGTTGTCCCATTAACCCTTTTTAGGGCTTTTTTCCTACTCTCTGAGGTGCCCCACATGGCACGTTACCCAATCAATGCTGTAGCCCAGTGTCATGTTTTTATTGTTTTATCCATTGAGAATTACATTTAAAACCAACTAATCCAACACCGGCTCCAATTCTCCATAAACCTTAGTTCTAAAGTACGAATCATCAAACCAATGCACACGCACGTATCCATCCTCTCCTCCACTCGCAAACGCCTTTCCTTGTGGATGTACTGCGATCGTATTGATTGGTCCGAAATGTCCCTTCACTCTGCCCACTTCCTCCGCAAACACCTTGTGCCAGAATCTGCACTCAAAGTTTCCTGAACGGCCAGATGTTGTAACATTCATCGCTTCCTGTCCACCACCGAGGATAATATAGTGACTGCCTGGGGCTATAGATGCTGAGTTGAGAGGTGAGTCGGTGCTAAATGTTTTGATGACGTCCAAAGTCTTTGTGTCAAAGAGCTGTCAGTGTGTTAGATTGAGCACTTTACTTAAAATACCCTTATCTCACCCTCGAAATCTTGTCTTTACTCGATGTAATGAAATAGCTCTGATCTGGCGAGAGTTGCAAATCCATTATGCTGTCTTGATGTGCCTCTTCATTCTCGCCAATCTGCTTCTTCTCTTCATAGTTAAACTTGGCAATCTTACCGCTTTCATGCGCTGTGACTATCTCGTTTGGAATAGCTGTGAATGCTGCAACGGTTACTTTGCTTCCTGCAGGCTCGAAAAAGTGCTTGGGCTCAGCCGCTTGCTGTGTTGGTTGTTCTTTGTTTATCTCAATAATACGAAGAGCTCCCTTGTACCCCATACGCTCCTCCGTGACAGCCAATATCTTGCTGTCATCGTTAGACCACTGCACGCGCTTGATAGCTGTTGGGAATTCCCAAGTGTACAGACATGCGCCTGTCTTCACAGACCAAAGTTTTAACGCATTATCCGCTGAACCAGACACCAAGAATTCTGATTTCTTATCAACGGAGACTGTCCATACAGTACCCTTGTGGCCTTCGTAAGTGCCAAGTCTAGTGTGCGTGTAAGTTGGGAGGCGTCTTCTCGATAGTGTGTCGCATACCTCTCACCGTTATGCGAGTACCAGACGTTTATTCTGTGATCTTTGGATACGGAGAATATAAGATCACCGTCTTTGTTGTCTGGTGGTCGTTAGGCGTGCCCAGGTGTGTTTGAGTGCACTCACAGATAATCTGCGTCAAAGAACGCTCGTGTCCTGAGAGAAATTAGCCTGAGTGGACAACAAACGGTGCTCTAGTACCTTGGAGTAATATTGGGCGCTGTAAATCCATCAGCTGCGTTCTTCTCGCTCATTTCCCACTTACCATCCTCAAAGTACAAGTTGAGCGGGTAAAAATACCATTCCGACTTGTACGCTGAACTTTTATTTGAATAAATTTGCAAATATGCTTGGGTTTATACGTGGTAGCAATTTCAACGATATTTGGGTTTTACGCCTGCCGCCTGGCTTGGTGGTGTTGTGCATGTTGAGCTGCGAGTAAGAAAGCAGCAGCGAGATGTTACAGATCTTGAGACTCAGTACACGTGACACGGCACTATTCAATTTCGATGATATCGGCCATCTTCCCATCCGCCGCCATCACTCCAACACAACTCGTACCTTCACAACACTCTACAACTTGAAATATATCCGTTATGGGCATCACTCACATCGTTGGTTTTAAATACAAGGATTTCGTTTCGGCCCCGCTGCGCAAGGAGATAGCCCACAGGTTGCTCGCTATGAGCGATACATCTGGCGTTATTCAGTCGGTCAAAGGCGGGCGCATTGTGGACTTAGAATTACTGGCCAAGGGCTTCCACCACGCTTTTGTACTCAAGTTCAATCGCTGGGAAGACCTACAGTTCTGTGGGTAGCCTTAGCATGACAAAATACAATCCTCCACTCACAAACATCACAGACCAACAGTTTGATCAATCTCACAATGATTTCAAAGCCCTCGTCGAAGATCTTACAGTCGACGTGCAAGTCTGGGACTTTGAGGACTTTGAATTCTAAACCTAGTCAGAGAATGAGAATTACCCTAAATAAATCAATACAAAGCTATTATTACGTTGGTCTAATGTCAGAATTACGCACTGGTTCAAAGTACGGGTGAGCCATCGCTTCTTGTGCAGTCAATCTCTCCTGGTGGTCGTATCTCAGCAGGTGGTCGAGGAAATCGATTGCTTCAGCCGAAACCCATTGCTGGTTCTCTGAGTTAATAAACTTATTCCATGGCTTACGAGCGTATCTGCCGAGGATCCCATCGTAGTGGCTGTCGAGCTCGATGTTGTACTTGTCGAGGTACGAGTAGAGTTCGTCTGTACCCAACACCTTTGCGATCTTAACCAGCTGATCGTAGTTGTCGTGTCCATGGAAGAAAGGCTCCTTCCTGAATATCATGGACGCGAACATACAACCCAAAGACCACATGTCCAATGAGTAGTCGTACTCTTGGAAGTCAACCAACAGCTCTGGCCCCTTGAAGTATCTCGATGCGACTCTGACGTTGTACTCTGTGCCTGGATGGTAAAACTCAGCCAAGCCCCAATCGATCAGCCTAAGCCTTCTCTTGTGGTGATCTATCATGACGTTGTGAGGCTTAACATCCCTGTGCATGATACCCTTTGAGTGACAGAAATCGAGTGCCTGTTGAGAGGTGGGTGAGGTTAGTGAGAAGAAGCCTAAACCAACCAAAGCCCACCTTGAGCAATTCGTTGATGTAGAATCTTATATCGAAATCTGTCAGCTTTGGGTAGAGCAGCTTGAAGTCGGTGTTGTTGATGTACTCGGATATAACTGGGGATTCTGGTTAGCTGGGTGCTTTGAGACACGCCAAACGGAAAACCCGGAAAACCCACTAGAAGGAGTCTTTGACTGTGAAAGCTGTTAGCGGCAACAACCCAAACAACGTATTCCACCCACGTTTGGATCCCTAACAACATCCAGCAAAGCGATTACATTCGGACCGCCAGCCAAATTTTGCAATATCTTGATTTCTCTCTTGATCTTCTTCTTCTTTACGGGCTTGAGGACCTTAATAACGCACTTTTCGTCGTTGTTGATGTTTATGCCCTCAAATACCTCCGAGTACTTTCCACGGCCGACTAGAGGGGTGTGAGGGGTGTATTAGGCTGGCTACGACGACGCACCTCTTCTCACAATCTCATACGATATCTGCTCCCCCCAGGACACAGTCAAATTGTCTAGTCACTTGGTCAGCGAATCGTGCAGCAGACGTTGAAATCGAGACAAACCATAATCCCACCAAGAGCGGCTGTGCTTCTCGTTGGCATCAGCGTATACGCGACTAATGCTTGGTGGCATCCTCGAGTCTTGATCGCTGAGATGTAAGATGGTATGCAGATGCTCAGAAATTCATCGATATAATATTATTTAGGATGTGATATTGTAGGCGCGGACAGTGATATGGATTTCCTTCTGTTTATCTATTAATTTCCAAGCTCTCGTCTCTCTCTGTGTATTCTGGATCGTGTCGGTGTCATCGAGATGGCCAGCGAGTGAATCCTAGGCGAGGAGATGTACGACTAAGCCCACGGAATCTCCTCACTCCCATAACCACCACTGTGTATGTCCTGATACAATAAACCCCAAATCTCGTGATCGCCTCTATCACCACAACAATCACCGATAGCGCGCTCAACTCAATCAATCCATGTCAGATAACCAAGATCCTGGCGGCGCAGCTGAAGTGGAGTACAACGTACGCAGCCATAACTTTTATTTCGGCCGTTATCTTACGCCCTGCTTAGGTTGAGAAGCTCCTCGAGGCTGAGGTCAGTTACGACGCTATCGACAACAAGAAGACGTACTTTTACTACGTCAAGTGGGAGGACTATTCTTCTGATGAGAATAGGTGGGTTATCGGTGGCAGTTGAGATACAACGACTCATATAATCACCAGCTGGGAACCTGAGTCATGTATCAGCACAGACGAGTGTATCAAAGATTTCTGGAATGCTGTTGGGATCAACAAGCCTCCTCTTAGCAGCTGCGCTCTTAAAACTCACTGGGCCCCCTACAAGAAGCCCGCCAAGAAGGAGAAGCGCTCTTCGATCACTCAGAAGAACAAATCCGCGAAGAAGCGCAAGTCTAGTCCCAGTCCTGTGCGTGAAACTCCACCCAGGAAGCGCAAGTCAGCTGAAAATGCAAAACCTGGCGAAAGCAACAAGCGTATTAAGAAGGCTGTCCCACATGTGAGCGATGGCTCCTCAATTGAGAGCAACGGCCATGGAAACGGCAGTGACAGCGACAGCGACACCGACGTTGAAGTCAGCACCGGGAAATCACCTCCAAAGAAATCTCCGATGATAGCCTCCCCAGTCAAAGCAACCTCCAATTCAAACAAAGCCAAGAAACCTCAAAAGCGTGTCAGCTTTTCTAATCAGGAAGCTGAATTTCTGAATTCTATCAACGATGATCTCATTCCTTCTCCACCAGAATCAAATGATGAACAAGTATCAGATGAAGAGGATCTGCAGAATCGCACTAGACAGGAAGCCCTACGTATGATGAGCAATAAAGCTAAAAACAGACCATTCAGGCCAAGGAAAAGTGATACCGTCAAAGAAACTGCTAAAGAGAGGAGGGAGAGGGTTAAGGACGAAGCTGATCAGCGTCAAGCTGAAGAAGCTAAACGTCGGGAGGACGAAAGAAGGAAACAACTTCTCGAAAGAGAGAAGGAAAAGGACAGGCAAGAGGAGGTGAAGAGGAAAGCTGTAGAGAGCCAGAAAAAGGCAGACGAAGCAATTCGTAAAGCTGAACAAGAAGAGAAGAGAAGGGAGAACGAATTAGCAATCAAGAATGGCTCTAAAGTGCCCACTATTCGCAAGAGAGATCCTCCCAAGGTGCAGTCCGTCGAAGCCCTTTGGAATACAATTGATGGTCATCAAAACGCTGCTAGATTGAGTGTGTATGAAAAGACGACTGGCAATAAACTCCCAAAGGTTGGTGGGCATAAGGATTCTTGTGTAGGAAATGGGGCGGGTTCAGCAGAAACCACTGCACACACTCCAGCTCCCAGCTCTTCATTTAATGGAATCAGACCCCGCTCAAGCTATTCTGGTAAGGCTGATAACGCTGATAACCCAAGAATCGATCAACCACAAATGTCTCCACCTCTTCAACAGCAGAATCTTCAAAACTTACCTCTGCAGCTGCCACCACCACCACAACCAGCTCAGCAGCAACAGCCTCAGCAACAATCTAGAGTTCAGGCGAACAGAAAAGGTCAACAACCAAGCAGCCAATTCAAGCCTCCAGCAAGACAGGCACAACAACCAATGGACAACATCTACCCAGCAAGGCAGACACAAGAACCTCAGGAAATAATCCACCCAGCAAGACAACAGAACAACTTCGACTCACCTTCGAATGGTGTTTTTACAAGAGAGAAAAACATGCTTGAAGACAATGAGGAGGATTTTGAAAAATACGATACTTCAAAATCAGCTAAGAAGCTTCAGAAACAGTCGGAACGTACTGCTAGCAATACACTCCCACTAGGCAGCAAGAGGAGTTGGGGAGGTGGACAGCAAAGTGGAGCACCAGTATCAACATCAACATCAACATCAACATCAGCATCAGCACCAGCACAAGCACTAGCACCTCGGCGTTCAACTGAAGAACCTCTTCAAGCTCGGAACCAGCCTAATAAGGATCCTCGCAAGCTGCGTCAACAGCAGCAACAAGCTGCAAAGGCCGAGAAAGAAGCACAGGCAGCACATACGACTAAGACAAAACATGAAGCACAGGCAGCACAGACAGCACAGACAGCACAGACAGAAGAAGCGGTAAAAGCACAGGGAGAACAGGAATTAAAAGCACCACATGCACAGGCACAGGCACAGCTGCAGCTGCAACAACAACCACGACAACCACCGCAACCACCATCACTAGCTGAGTCAGTACCCGAAGCACTCTTCAGGGATGATGACAAAGAAAAAGCAAATACCCGGAAAGATAGCAAGGAGGGTGTTGTTCTTCCAAACAACTTGCGCAGAGAATCAACAACACCGCAGCCATCGCATGACCTGCCAGTAATGTATAGCAAGAATTTACCAACCGATGCGCTCTGGAAGGGTGTGATGTTCGCTCATCAGAAGAGACTCGGCAATGTTGGTTTTGTCGATGTGACAATAGCAAGTGAAGAGGAAAATGTTGCTCCCCCTATGAGTATGAAAGACTCCCTACAATACCTAAAGGAGTTGAAACTCGTCTGCTTCCTCGATGCTCAAAGTTTCAAGAAACATGTCAACCAAGTCAACCAGGTCGTCGAGGTGATGTCGCCTGATTTTTCCATGAGACGTTTCTTAAAAGAACTCGTCGGGTTCGACAAAGTTGGTATTTTCCAGGTTGACGGAGGTGACAATAGCGCAGAGTCAGACGAGATACGCTTTATTGCGTTCGCTCCTGCGAAGATACCAGATTTGAGAGTGTACTTCAATTTACCAAAGGAGAATCAGATCTTTGCACTCCTCGTGACGATGCCTAGAAATGTCAAATTGCAGTTCGAAAAGATCGACAAGTGGGATAGAGAAAATGCGAATAATGAGGATGAGGATGAGGATGACAAGATAAGGGTGCAGCGTGAGATTGCTGAGACGAAAAGATGCGAAGAAGCAAATAGGGAGAGTCTCACAGAGGCTACAGCAACTGACCAAAGAGTGACTGCAAATGGGCACTCTACGTCAATGGATGTATCTATAAACGAGGGTATTGGTGTGACTCAGCCTGCGATAGTTGTGGATGGAGAGACTGGCTCGGCTGAATTGACTGACAACGATGCTACGAATGTCAACAATGCTACCAGTGTAAATAATGCTTCCCTTGGCTCCCAAGCTGCACCTCCAACTGCGTCTCAACCGGTTCTTGTTTCTACTCCTGCTCCTGCTCCTCAAAGTGCTCAGCCTACCTCTCAACCTGTCTCTCAATCAACAAGTGCCTCTGCTGATCCACGTCTTTCTCGCCACCAAGCTGATAATAACATAGGCAAAACACCTACCCCAGAACCATCTGGGCTGCCTCAAGAGTTAGTCGAGAAGGAGAAAGCGAAGCGGAATCTCATCGAAACGAATAAACGCGAGCAAGTCGAGAAGAAGCAGCGTGAAGAGACGACTGCAGCGGGAAAAGGAGTAGTATCAAATAGACACTCATTTGCGACTATGCACACATCTACAAGTAAAGAATCACAGCATAGTAATGCTACGTCAAGTGATGACGCTGCCAGCAATCGCAATGCAAATACCAATGCTGCAGCCACAACAACACCTCAATCTGCTCTTACAGACCCGCGTGTTTCTCGCCGTCAAACTGAGAATAAAGGAGCTTCCGCACCTTCATCATCGACATCTGCTGGAACATCAAGAGATACTCGCCTGGCGCGCAACCAACAGACAAAGACAGTGAAGGAAGAAATGATCAAGAAAGAGGCGGGAGTAGCACCACCACTATCTATGTCCAAGACATTAGAGGAGATAGCCAAGTACAAAAAGGAATTAAATTTCTCATCTTCGAAAATGAGATCCTTGGGTATAGATGGAAAGCTGTATAGAATATCAGCTCCACCGTTTGTCAGCGAACAAAGTAACCAATTGCGCTTAATTCTTACACATCACAAATGTAAAGAAGCTACAGGAAACTTTGAAGAGGCATCGAGGGCAGCTACGTTACGGTTTATACATCTCCAGCAGATCGACTATGTCGCGAGTATGCCTGGTATCACTGACGCTAGATGTAACAAGTCTGTTAGGTTTTTCTTGTTCGGTAAGAATGAAAAAATTCCCAAAGAGCTGTGGAAAGTGAATGAGATATACAGATGTGGTGAGTAATTGCGATTGTGAGGGTTTGCAATAGAATCTCACTCACTCATCTGAATAGGTGGTTTAATTACATTCACCTCGAGAGTCCTATCTCAGGAGACGGAGAAAGTAATTGAGCTTCTTGAACTATTTGCAGCTGTTAGAAATCAAAATACGTACTGGCAAGCATTTGTCCTTGATGACGTCTACAAGAAGGCCATTTATACATTGAGGGAAGAGATCGCGGTGAGGTCTGAGAACCAACCGGAGGAATATCGACTGGAACTGCTTAGAAGTCTGTTCAAGCCAACAGGGAAGCTCATGTCATTTGGTCAGCTACCTGCAAACAATCCTAATCCAGTCACACGTAAGTGAAGTTGTGATTTCTAGTCATTACAGCAGCTTACTTGGACAAACAAACAGCCACAGAAAAACAGTATATGTTATCGAGAATAAGTAGGAGAAAGGGACAGTTTAACGGAGATACTATAATGGGTACTGCTATTTCGCGTCTACCTGAGGGACAGACAGACGCAGATACATGGCTTCTTGAAGAGATGAAACGTATACAGGTGGGTATGACGAGTGGCAAGGTGATTTATTTTCACACTCTGCAGTACCATGTTGATATTCGCGTCATTCATCGTCGATATGTTGTAATTGATGTTGACGGCGCTGACTTTGGCAGTGAGAATAACTCTGTGGGTTGCGCGCGTTGTTGAATGGTGAAGATTTCTAACGAGACGTGGCAGATTGAGAAGCACAGCTGTGATAGCTTTATTGATGAAATCAAGGGCGGTACCTTGATTACGTGAGTTAGGATCGCCAGACTCACAATATACATTTCAACTCCTATATATCAATTTTCACTCATGTTGTAAGATGAAATGCAAATTAGAATAAAGTAAGGATATTCATACAACACAGGTCATTTATAGTTAAGAAGGCGGTTAAAGATGGTCGTCTCTAGCTTTCTGACGCTTGCGAGAGTCAGCGGGAGCTTCATCGAGACCTCTCTTACTGCTTTCGTTGTTACCTTGGATGGCCTCGTTGAGGAATTGATCAACACCGAATGGGTCGACGTCCTTTTCAAATTCGACAGGACCTTCACGAGATTGTTGCAAATCAGCGCCCTCGAAACCTTTAGTAGTTGCACCTAAACCAAATCTATCATTATCGAGTGCTTTATTTACGCCATCCTCAGTACCACCGCCGACGATTTCATCGTCACCATCCTGATTTCTGTGCTTGTAAATTGCAGCAGCAGCGCTACTACCGTGAAAGAGGGGTTTATCATAGAGATTATAAGCCTCATCATCGCCGAATGAAGGATTAAGAGATTCTTTGTTATAGAGACGACTATCAAACATGGCCTCTTTGGACATGGAAGGTTTGGCTAGACCTAGGGCAACTTTCTCGCTGACGTCTCTATTTTGCTCACGTGCCATTTGTTTTGCGCGCTGCTCGTGCCCCATGTGGCTAATACGCATTTCGCGTTCGCGTTCGGTGCGTTTTTCTCTTCTCATCTGCTCGCGTTGACGGAGAGCGTGGTCATCGCGAACTTTGTCGTTGTCGCCATCGTCGCCATCGGAGTCGGAGCCGGATGCCGACGCTGAAGCATCCGAGTCGCTACCGTAAGCAGCGAGGTTGGGCATAGACGATCTACCACCACCACCAACACCAGCACTACGCTCCTCGCGCGCTTTCTGCGCAAGCTGACGTAGTGATTCTTCCTTGCCGAGTTTCTCTTTCTCGGCGAGACGCTGCTGCATGACGTTACGCTGGCGGACTTCATCGCGAGCATGTCTCTCGCCTATAAAGAGTGCTTCTGAGAACTTGGCAAAGTTATCGTTGATTTGAACATCCTGCAATCCACGCCCATCCGCTGCGAGACGCTTATCGAGGGGGATAGTATAACCTTTGTTGTTCTTCCAGTTGGAGATACAGGGAGGGATCATCCACTCTTTCTGCTCGGCAGCGGTGGCTTTGCGAGGGGGCGAGCGGAGAATAGGTGGGGGTGGAGAAGGAGGGCCTCTTGGAACTTTTTTGTGTTTGAAGCGGGGTGGTTCGAGTGGATCTTCGACAGCGTCTCGAATTTGTACCACACGCTGCGTACCTTCGTTGGGAGTGTAGCGGACATACTGAGCCGCATTCGCTTTTCCACCTACATCTTTGCTGTGAGCAGCTTTGATTTTGTTACCGACAATCTTCTCAAGGGCTTCTTTGGTCTTTTGTGTTGTGTCAGCGACGGCGGATTCCGAGGGACGGTCGAGGTCCGTAGAAGCACCATCCGAGCGCTTGGAGAGAGGGAGAACGTCTTGGAAGGACGACTGGATGAGATGAGCGTGCTCACCACGGTTCTGCTTGGCAATTGCGTCGTATTTCACCTGACCAGAGCCATCGACAGTGAGAGAGAGGGTTTTGGAACTCTTTGCCTTCTTGCGGCCGAGATCAAGGGGATACTGGGCGGTGTGGCATTCGGGGTAGGCACCGCCATCAGCAAAGTCCTGGGGAGTGCTGGGTTTCCAGGAGTGGCGGTGGAGATAAGGAGGAGCAGAGAAGCGTTTGGAGAGAGTGTGGTGGGATTGCTGGGAGTGGTCGTCGTCGTCGTCGTCGTCGTTGAATCGTGGGGCGGGGAGTACGCTGGGGGAAGTTTAGTAAGTGCTATATGAATCCCAGAAACTCACTTGGACAAACCAGTGGAGAAGGCAGTCGACATTTTTACTAAACAATTACTTGAGAATTACTTGTGGATGGTGGTTATAATAAAACGATCAAGTGAAAATAAATGTGACTAGTAATTCAATAGAGGGGTCCTTCTAATAAACCAATCAAGGTCATTCATCGCTCCAGATCCAACATCCTCGTACCTCTTAGGTGGTGAGCGTGTATCTGGGAATGAGATTCGCCAGCAGAATGGTGAGTCTGGATAGCCAGTGACACAGCCACTAACCACACACCACCAGTCAGATCAGCCTTGGCTATTGCCAATGTCGTTAAATCCTCTTTGGGTCCCGTAGGTGTGTATTCCCTTCTCAAACCTTCCAAGCCTGGCTAATTGGAATTGATGTAAAGGACTTGACAAGATGATGGTGGATAACATTGGAGTGTGTGGCTGTCTATTTCTGGCTATTCCAGCTTACTCTTGGCTTCACAGGATGTCACAATCTCAAACGACGGTGCTACCATTCTCTCCCTCATCGAGACTGAGCACCCCGCTGCCAAGATTCTCGTTGATTTAGCCCAGCAACAGGATAAAGAGGTCGGCGACGGTACCACCTCCGTCGTCATCGTCGCTGCTGAACTCCTCCGTCGCGCAAACGATCTCGTCAAGAACCGCATCCACCCAACCACTATCATTACCGGTTACAGATTGGCGTGTAAGGAGGCTTGCAAGTTCATGCAGGACAACCTTTCCTCCAACGTAGACGCTCTTGGCCGCGAATCCCTCATCAACGTCGCCAAAACTTCTATGGCTTCCAAGATCATTGGGAGGTGAGTTGTGTCAGTTGTTTATATCCAACCCTAACAGCCACAGCGACGACGAATTCTTCGCTAACATGGCCGTCGACGCTATGCTCGCCGTCAAGACTATCAATCCACGCGGTGAAGTCAAGTACCCCGTCAAAGCTGTCAACGTCCTCAAAGCACACGGTAAGAGTACCACAGAATCACTCTTTGTCAAGGGTTATGCACTCAACTGCACCGTCGCGTCACAAGCTATGAAGACGCGTATCGCTGGTGCTAAAATTGCTTGTCTCGATATCAATCTCCAGAAACAGCGCATGCACATGGGTGTGCACATCACCATCGATGATCCTGCTCAGTTGGAGGAGATCAGGAAGCGTGAGTCGGAAATAACCCTCGAGCGCGTCCGCAAGATTATATCATCTGGTGCAAATGTAGTACTCACTACGAAAGGCATTGATGATCTCTGTCTGAAGGAGTTTGTTGAGGCTGGTGTAATGGCAGTACGTCGTTGTCGCAAGGAGGATTTACGTCGTATTGCCAAAGCTACCGGAGCCAGTCTGGTGTCATCCCTCGCCAATCTCGAGGGAGAGGAGACATTTGAATCGTCTCTCCTCGGTCATGCCGAAGAAGTTGCACAGGAGCGTATTTCTGATGACGAGCTTATTCTCGTGAAGGGCACCAAGATTGTTAGTGCTGCGTCAGTCGTCTTGCGTGGTGCGAATGATTACATGCTCGATGAGATGGAACGTGCTTTACACGACAGTCTGTGTGTCATTAAGCGCACACTCGAATCAGGTCACGTCGTACCAGGTGGTGGTTCAATCGAAGTTGCGCTCTCTATTTATCTCGAGAACTTTGCCACTACTCTTGGATCACGTGAGCAACTCGCCATTGCGGAATTCGCTCAAGCCCTGCTGGTTATACCAAAGACATTAAGCGTTAATGCGGCTAAAGATTCGACAGAATTGGTGAGCAAGTTGAGAGCATTCCATAATGCAGCTCAGTCTGCTCCACATGGTGACCCTAAGAAGGATTTGCAGAATTATGGCCTCGATTTGCTTGGTGGTGATATTAGAGATAATGTTAAAGCAGGCGTACTCGAACCTACCGTATCTAAAATTAGATCTCTCAGGAGCGCCCTCGAGGCTGCCACTTCTCTGTTGCGTATCGACGACGCTATCAAGATGGCTCCAGCGGAGGCTGCTGACGATGGACATGGTCACTAGAGTGCTAAGTTTGTTGAAAGGCAAGACACATAATTGCAAATTAAAAGAATTTGTTACAAAAAGATTAAAAGTTTTTATATATTTCCCATTTTCTCCCTCAATCAAACATAAACAAAGGAATTTGGTACAAGGGGTTTAGCGAGAGCGACATGGCGTCTAAACTCTTCAGTGAGGACGTAATTGATTTTGTACGTGTGGTACGTGTGGTACGCGTGGCACGTATGGTTGACATAGCCCGATCTCATCTGAAAGCAGTTTGTGTTAAGTGTGATAGTACCACTAGTGAGACATTTCTCGAACAGGCCCATAATAGTAGCGAGAATGCGACGTGCACAACCACCTGGAGCGAGATTGTGACGAATGTGTTGAAGCATTTTGCGTCGATTGATCCCTATACATCGATTGCAGGGGTCGCTACACCCTTTCATGCCCGTGCTTGGTGAGTTACGAAGGAGAAACTGCACGAGCTGATCGAAAGCCATACCATCACCAATTTGCACTCGCCGGACAACCATCAGCTGGAGGGGGAAAGGGAGAGGGTTCGAGAGGGGCATGTAGTGGCTGTTTCCGTTGTGACTTGTGTGTCCGGTGTAGCCTGTGTATCCATAGTATCCACAGTATTCCCCGTGTCCTACCCTCCTGTTGAGCCCCTCCTGCTGGCGGAGGTAGAGCTGCGAAAACATCTCGTTGAGGTTGCGGTGGTCGCTGTGCGTGTGTTCGCGTGTGTGCGTGCTTAAGCTGCCACTCACACCTGCATCTACCACACCACGCTCACGCTCACGCTCGCTACCTGGTGCTGGCGATGTTAGTGGTACGCAAGTAAATGAGTCGCGCCGAGCGATCTGTGGACGAGTGCGGCGCGGTTGCGTTGGTTGCTCTGCTTGCTCTGCTTGCAGCTGTGCGAGGGCATCGACGCTACCAAAGAGACCGTCGTCGCCGGTGGGAGTGCGAGCAGGAGTGTTAGTGTGTGCAGGTGCATGTCCATTAGCACGCCCACGTCCTTGAATAGCAGCAGCAGAAGCGGCAGCCTGTTGCAATTGCAAGCTGTGAAGGGGCCCTCTGCGCACAATGACGACATGTTCAGAATGCGTGTCAGACTGGCTACCAACACCAACGCCTGTACTCTCACTCCCGCCCAAAGCGTGACCTACACCGCGAGCGGAATGGCGGCCGCTCACCATCCCAGCCAACCACTTCTCCTCATCCTCCTCACCTACCCCGTCCTGGTCATCTTGGGAAGGAGAAGCGACGGTGATGTCAACGACGGGATACGACTCCAGATTGTACTGCGTAGGCGAGCGCGTTTGACACTGGCTGGGATACGTCGTATGTCCTACTCCACCCCAGTTGTGCGTGTGCGTAGGGTGGATCGTCAGGGTGTCGATCGCATCGATGGTAAGGTCCATGTAGAATGGGCGCAAGAGGTCCGCGTGCGTAGGAAAAGGCGTGGTGTGGTGCGTGTACATTGTGTCTGCGTACTCGATGTGTTGGATGTACGACATTTACGTGTCTTGAGTCTTGTCTTGGATAAGTTGATGTCTGAATCAAGGAGTAAAGAGGAGAGAGAAGAGGGATTAAAGAACAGAGAGTTTTGCACGCATTCAGAATTCATCTCCCACCGCCCCTCCACCGCTTGTGGAAATTGCAAAATTTCTTACAAACCTTCTACATCGGGAATCTGGACGTTAGAATATGGAAGATGTCGGATTTGAGGTATGGGAAGAATGTAGAGTGGCTATGAAAGGAAGCAGCGGTGGCAGAGTGATTTTTAAAGAGGGAAATTATGGGTATAAAATTTTGATGGGTATATGGAGTGCTTGGGATAGTGAGATTTATTGAGATAGAGTGGAATAAAGAGAGATAGAGAGAGGAATTATACTGAGAAATAGAAGATTAGGATTATGTAAACAACTTCCCTGACCCACCACCAACCACTCGAACAATGAAGACATACGAATGCTTCGATGGGGCTATATCGTTTGAATCGCCGGTGGATTTGGTGAATGGGAGTTTATTCAGGCAGGTTCCAGATACGCAAGAATTATATTTGGAGAGAAACGGCGAAGGTAGTGTGATAGTGGAGGTGCTCGAGCTGGTTCACGAGGCCAAGACGCTGGAAGAGGCTGGAGAATACCACTTTAAATCTCTAGCCCACGATAACGAGACGGAGGAATACGAAATACAGAATATTACCGTCATTAGCGATTCCAGCTGCGTCGTCAAAGGCCTTCAAACGATAGAGAAGGCGGGAGTGATTGAGAATATCCCTATAAACCTCAATGTCCTCAGAATCGCAGGGAAATACGATCTGGTCACGCAATTTAACAAATTGGCGCACACGCCAATCCACGTCAACGACTACTCGCTCTTCTACTTGTAAGCGTCATGAGCAATATTTTAAATTTGAATTCGGTTATCAAGAGACTAGAGTGTACGACTGGCAGGCTGGAGGATATTCTATTGGACAGCAGCTTGTTGAAGCAGGCTGGCAGCAGTGGCAGTGGTGCTGACACCGTGGCAGGTTCAGAGCCGGCACCAGCGACAGCAACAGCACCGCCAGCAGCCCCACACACTCCACCACCAGCCATCGCAGACTTCACCAACCTCCTCAACACCCACCTCTCCCCTTTCACCGTTCTCTCTGCTGAAATTGGCGGCGAAATCCACAGCCAATCACAGAATCTCGAGTCTCTCCTGCAGAAGACTCTGTCCATCGTCCTCACACCTGCCAGCCGCTCGAAGCCTCCGACAAACTTGTCCACCTTCCAGAACTCGCTCTCGCCAATCATCACTCACGTCAACAAGATTGTCCAATTGAGTGACTCAGCACCCAAAGCTCTCCAGTTGCCCCTCAAGGCTGTCGCTGAAGGTGTCCCTGCCTTTGGCTGGTTTACTATCGCCCCCAAGCCAGCGCCATACATCCAAGACTTCAAAGACGCGGCTCAATTCTACGCGAATCGCGTCATCAAGGAGTTTAAAGGTGGTGACGAGAGGATGGTGCAGTGGGTGAAGCTTTTTATGGGGCTGTTGGAGGAACTCAGGGTGTATGTCCATAAGCACCACACCACTGGCCTCAGTTGGAACGAGAAGGATGGTGTGGCGTACGAGGAGTATGTCAGTGGTGAGGGGGGTGATAAAAGCTCTGATGCTACTCCTACTAACAATTCCACTCCTCCACCTGCTCCTGCTCCACCTGCTCCTGCCCCGCCTGCTCCTCCTGCTCCCACCTCAACCTCCACACACCCTCAGTCTCCCCAACAAGGCCCCGAAGCAGTCTTTGCGCAGCTCAACAAAGGCTCCGACATCACAAAAGGGTTGCGCAAGGTGGATACTGAGCAGATGACGCACAAGAATCCGTCGCTAAGAGATGCTGGCAGCACAGAAAGCACCCCCAAAAAGCAGCAACCGCCTATCGCTGCCAAGCCAAAGTCGCTCACACGTACCACCTCGAGCCACCCTCCTAAGACACAACTCGATGGCCAGAAATGGTTTATTGTGGGTAGTGTGTCTTTATCATGAAGAAATCCTTATTGATATATACTTTCAGGAAAACCACACTAACACACCTCATATACTCATCGACGACACCAAGCTGTCGCACACGGTGAATATCTTCAACTGCAAAAATACAGTGGTGGAAGTGAAAGGTAAGGTGAATGCGTTGAATATGGTGGGATGCCACAGAACATCCGTTTTGCTTGACAACCTCGTCTCCTCACTGAGTATCACCACTTCACCCAATTTCACAGTACAAATACTGGGCGTGGCGCCTACTGTTACTGTTGATGCTACTGATGTCGGTCAGATATATCTTAGTAAGGGGTGTATTGAGGCGGACACTGAGATTATTACCGCTAAAACCTCGTCTGTTAATGTTAGCTTGCCTGATAATCAAGAGGACGGCGAATTCGTCGAGAAACCGATACCTGAGCAGCTCAAGACTGTTGTCCGTGATGGAAGGCTAGTCAGTAGCGTGGTGGAGCATAGTGGGTAATATATCCGACCGAATGAAATAAATGAATCAAATATCCAAATATCCAAATCAAAACAGCCAATACGTATCATCTACTCAAAATCAAGTCATAAAATAAAACAAAACAGCCAATAAATATCCTTGAGTATGCTAGAAACCATCTCTTCTCTTCCTGCCTGTGTATTTGGAGTCAAGGGGGACGCCCTGTTTACCCTTCTGTCTCTGAAGGTGTTTCTTGTGGTTGATATGGTCTTTAGCGGAGTGTTTGATGTTAGTGCGTGGGGGACGATGTGTGGATTGTGATTGCCTGCCGACATTGCTGACAGTGCCAGTTTCAGTCTTGGCGGCTGGCATCTGCACCTCCTTTCCACTAACACCTGCGAACAAACAGAGGTAGAACTTCTTCGCTTTTCTGCTATTAGGGTAGTCTACCACCAGTCCACCGCTAAAACCAGCCTTCTGAGCGAATCCCATAATAAATCCCACCTGGTCGTCTGACTCTGGGTAAAACTGGAAGACTGCCCTGCTGCCTCTAGAGAGAGCAGCATAGAGCGAGTTAAAGAAGCGCATTAAGCGGCTTCCTGGGTTCGCAGAGGTAGAGTCTGCGTTGCAAAGCCACTGAAGGACAGATATGGATATAGCGCCGTCGAAAGAGCCCGCACGAACGTGCACTCCGCTGCCTATATCGCTGAGCATCAGGTCGCCTTCGAGGTCCCTCTCTAGGGCTATAGATAGCATGCTCGGGGAGATATCACAGCCCAACCAATAATGGCCCTCCTCGTCGAGTATTTCCCCACTCAAACCACTGCCGCAGCCAATATCCAGTAGAAATTTAGGTGTTTGTCCGTCGTTATCCCCTAGCAGCTCTAACGCACGGTATGTCATCTCCGCTTGGATTTGCTGCACACGCGTATTAGACGTGTATTTTCCAGCCTCGCTGTCATTGTAGAATATCTCAGGCGGCGCTATGTGTTCAGGACGGGACATGTTGCTTCAGCTGTTGGTGGTGGTTGATTACTCTTGCTATCGATGCTAATCACTCGTGGTGCTGCTGTTGCCGGGATTGTAAAGTTGATTGGTATTCTACTCGGCTTTTTTATACTCTTGCGTGAGTTGCGGAAGCCGGAAGATTTTCACGGAAAGAGAAGTCAGTAAGAGAGTAAAGGTAGTATGACACACGCTGCGCACTCTGTATAATCTACAGACCACACACCGCCACACTCCCGCACTCCCCCGAATATCGCCGCTTCTCCCGCCATCTCCCACCGCCAAAAATGGATACGCACCCAACTCAAAACGGTCATCAGCTAATTTAAATGTTACGCAACGCCGCTTCCCAGACAAGCAGAGTGGGTTGCGCGTAGATTACAGACGACGTCCATCTCATACGACTCCAGCTCGCCCGTGGATACGCCAGCACTGCTACGACCACCGCCCGCGAACCTAGCAGATTCGGTGGTATTTACAATGTTACGCTGATCCCTGGTGATGGTGTAGGCAGGGAGTTAACCCAGTCTGTCAAGGAAGTCTTCGAGTCTCTCAACGCACCCGTCCAGTGGTCTGAGTACGATGTTAGCGGGGAGACCAACGCGAGTGAGCCACAGTTCCTCGAAGCCGTTGAATCGATCAAGCGCAACAAAGTCGGTCTCAAAGGTATTCTCTACACTCCTCTCGAGGCCAACGCGCACAACAGCTGGAACGTAGCTATGCGCCAATCCCTTGACATTTACGCTTCCGTCGTTCACTGCAAATCCCTCCCAGGTTTCCCTACTCGTCACGCTGACGTCGATTTCGCAATCATTCGCGAGAATACTGAGGGAGAGTACTCCGGTCTCGAGCACCAGTCGTACCCAGGCGTTGTAGAGTCTCTTAAGGTCAGCACTGTCGCCAAAGCAGAGCGCATCGCTCGCTTTGCCTTTGACTTTGCTATCAAGAACGGCAGAAAGAGAGTGACAGCAGTGCACAAAGCCAACATCATGAAATTGGGTGACGGTCTGTTCCTCAACACTTGCAGACGCGTAGCGAAGGAGTACGAGGGTTCTGGTGTCACTTTCAACGACATGATCGTAGATAACACTGCGATGCAACTCGTCGCTAAACCTCAGCAATTCGATGTTATGGTCATGCCTAATCTTTATGGTAACATCGTGTCCAATATCGGCGCTGCGTTGGTCGGTGGACCAGGTATCGTGCCGGGTGTTAACATTGGCGCTGATTACGCTCTCTTCGAACCTGGTTGTAGACACGTCGGAATGGATATCATGAACACTAACAAGGCTAACCCTGCCGCTATGCTCTTCTCAGCTGCTATGATGCTCAGACACCTTGGTGTGTCTAACCACGCTGATAAAATTGCTGGCTCCGTTTATCAAGTCGTCCGCGATGGTAAGGTTAGAACAGCCGATATGGGAGGTAACTCCAACACGACGGATTTCACCCACGCCGTTATCAAGAACCTTTAAAGGAGTAGAAATTTATAGAAGTCAGTTCACTTAACACACTCAGTACACACAACACACACCCTACACACAAAACTTAATGTAATTATTTCAATTCCAATTCAATTCACTTTCTTGCGTTATTTTTGCATTCTTCTCGTGAGAATTCTCACTTGTTAGCCCTGCGTCTGCGAGTGTTTCTCAGCTTTTCTGACGCTTTGAGAGGTTTCTGTGGGGGTTTGGGGATGTCGTTGTGTACTTGATGACCCTTTTCATCAATCTCATCACTCTCATCACCCTCCTCGCCAAGCACCGGCTCAGTAGCCACATGAAGGGCGTCTCCAGAGGTGTTACAAAGGCGCATAATGGGTGCTGCGATGGCCAGAGTGAGCGTTACAGGCCAGAGGCTGTACAGAGAAGGCTTCTGAACATCTTCTTCGGTTATGAGGTGGGTGCTGCCGTCCCTATCGAGCTGTGATTGTGTGTGAGTTTGCATAATAGGAGAAAGTATCCATCCACCCACAATAGACACCTCCTCTCCATCCACCACACAATCGATGAATATATCGCCATCGTCACGCAGAGGTACGCGACATCTGCGCTTGCCTGAAGAGAGAGCAATATTGCGCACACGCGCAATCCTTTTGACGTCTTTAGTCGCGTTCATGCGTTGCACCGTGGCTTGCAAGAGTGCGGTGAGAAGGGCGAGGAAGGTGATAGCCGTGAAAAGACCAGGTCTGAAGCGAGCGAACAGGTAAGCGCCGCCTGTATAGATTTGTTAGAAAGATCACTGGAAAAGTGACACACACACCCTTCCAATATGGTACACCACGCTTCAGCCAGAAATCATACCTCTTGCGTGCTTCCTTGTTGCGCAGTATGCTGCCAATAGTAGTGAGACGCGTGTGTCGCTCTGCTATAGCCTTGTTGCCGGGATTCTTGTCGGGGTGGTTGGCGAGCATGGTGGAACGGTACGCTTTTGTTATCTCGGATGTGCTGGCTGAGGGTGATACATTGAGAAACGAGTAAAATGTAACCCCTTTGCCTGTATCGTTCGCGTGAGCTGGCCGGATTCATTAAACGGCATCGTCCAACCCACCTTCTCCCCGCTCGAGCTCAGCCACTATGTCAAATATCTCATAATCTTCTTTGTCCCATGCTAATACTGCTGCGAGGAGCGCACAGAGGAATACTAGCCATGTCAGCCTCATTGGGTGTTGGGTGTGCGTGGACAAGAGAGAGAAAGAAGACCATCAAAGTGTGGTATATTAGAGCTGTTTGTGATATGTGTTATTTTCTATGAAAAGATATTTATTCATTTCTATTGTTCCTGACGCGACTGAAGGACACTGACAACACTGAGCTTTGTTTATCACATTCGCTCCGAATCTGTGACTGTATCTGTGGCTTTTGCAGCTTTTTCATTGGCTTCCTCTTTGGCTTCCTTTGTGACCGTGTCACATTCTTTGCCCACCTCAGACTCCCCCTCTACCGCCGTATCCAGCTTACGCTGCGGGATTACACTAAAGAAGGCCTTCTGCCAGTCATTCTGCTTAATATACTCTGTTAGAATCTCATACACCTGGTTTACTGTAAGCACACGTCTGGTTGAGAGACGTATGTACTTTGAGATTGGCAGCGCAGCCACAGCCATTCCCAGACTCTTTGCCTTATCAACTGTGATGTTCTTGAGTCTATTGTGATCAACCATAGCGCCGAGAATGTAATGCTTGGAGGTGTCCAGTTCATCGAGCACGTTGTCTGTATCCGCTGTAAGATAAACGCAGTCACTGGGCTTATAAACCTCCTCCACGGCGCTATCTGTAAACGTTATTTTATCATCATCCCAGCCAGACTTGAGTGGATCGAGGCGCTGCTTTAGTCTGCCATTGTAAGATGTTACTTGGAGGTGTGTGGGTGATACTGTGTGCTTGTTGTGCGCGTAACACGTCGTGAGCTGATTAGACAGGCTAACAACCTCACGCTCCCCTTGTAGCTCATCAAACGCGCAATCTAACACCACGCTAACATTTGAGTGCTTTAATTGCGCTTTACTTGGGGCTTTTCTATTCGCCTGCTTCTTCTTGAGCTGCTGGAGATACTCTACGTCATTCTCCTCCCGAGCTTTCGCGATACGCTGCTTCTTGCGCTCTCTATCCTGGGCTCTACGTAGTGGCTTCTGCTCCGATATGCGCTGCTGCTTCGCTTGCTTTTTTCGCTGCGATTTCGATATTTGCTCTCCTTCAATCATCACAGCGAGGAAGCGAGGAGATGAGAGAAGATGTGGAGATGGGCTCGTCGAGCTCGCAGAAATCTTTCTTTAGCAGATTTATCTCCCCTAATCGTCTCGGCAGGCAGCCGTCGCATGCGCAGATCCCCTCATCGCCGTCATCCCACTCGCCGCCAATCAACATGAGCGAGGCGATCGATCTATTTGTTCAAGAGCCTTCATCGAGTCTGCTGTGGTCGCTGGTCAGTGCTTTAGATCCACAGGGCATGGATTACGCTCTCAGCAAATCAAATTTCAACTCAATCATCTCAATTAAGCAGTTGCTAATCAGCGATACAACTCCAACGAATATCAGAATTCCTGGTTTTCATCTCCTAGCCACTGCTCTACTTAAACACGACCCAGAGCCTAATATTCGTGTCAGCCTCTTTGTCGACATCGTCAGCTTCCCCTTACCTAACATGGACATTCCAGAGCTCGCTGCGAGACTTAATGCCCTCTACAACCTCACTAAATTTGGTAAAGAAGGCGGCCTGTACCCTTCCTTCTCCCATATTCTCCGCAGGTGGCTTCGCAAATCATGCCAAGCTTTATCACTCGACAGAGCCCAGTACCAGTCAATTCACACCAAATTCAACTCCATCGACAACGCAACCCTCATCCAGCGCGTTCATATACGCTTAATCACTCTCATTGAGGGCTACATCAAGTCAAATATCTCCCAAATCCGCTCGTCGAACCTCACCAAACTCGTTCTTGGCTCGCTCAACACTATCAACCCAATGAACCCAAACCCCGTTGAGACTCCCTGCGTTTTGCGCCTCCTCCAGTCTGTCCTTTCGTATGCCTATGTACCCAACAGTACCGTCGAGAGGGTCGTTTTCGCCCTATGCGCTGTTATCGGCTCACAGGCTCAGTCGCTACCATACCACAACAGCGAAGAAACGTGGGATGAGGCTGGTTGGTCTGTTTTGAGGAATTTGCTGCGTAGTCAGTGTGCCAATATTGCTGCCAAGGCTGTTCGCGATATTCCAAGATCCCAACCCTATCCTCCAATACAGGCTCATTTAGGCGCCCTCAAAGCTATCAGATTCTGCCTCCAGAAGGCTAAAGAGAAGGCTCACGATAAACAAGTCCGCACTGAATCTGGCGCTCCCAAATCTGCTCCTTCTTTTACAGGCGAAGAAGACTCTGTTAATGTCTTCACCCCTGTATTCGTTTATCCTGTTTATCAAGCTGCCCTTAAACGCAACTCGCCGCTTATCGATCAGGAGATCTGGAAGTTCGCAAAAGATTGGCTCGACCATCTCGACCAGTTTGAGATTGATGAGACAGTTGAGAATATGGAGAATAGTACAGGCTCGTTGCAGAAATTGTCTCAGGATTCGTCTGAAGAGGAGATTGCAATGGGAAGACAACTACTAGTGTCTTTATTGGAGGCTGGTGGAGATCGTGTGCATAAGTTTAGGTGAGACTGCAGATTTTACTCTACAAATTCCCCTCACACACCCCTCAGATACCCAGATCAAAGTATATTCAAGCTCTATCCGCCCCATCCCTCACCGCAATCGCTCAATGCACACGACTTTTCTGTCCCCCCACAACTCACACTCTACGCTACAATACTATCAAGGATTCAATACATTGCATTCAAAAAACGTCAAATGCCTCACGGTTTAGCATCGTTATTACTTGATCTATCATCACATCTCGATCCATCATCTGCACTATCGTTGATCGATTATCAGAAGGCGGCAGGTCGTTGCGATCCATCAGACGAGAGATGGCTGCACCATCTGTTCGATCTCGTACAGAGATTCTACCTACCCATCCCATCATCTACAAGCTCGATCGTATCTCCTCATCAACCTTTACCTGCAAGTGCCACTGTCCGTCAAGCTGTCGCGCATCTTCTGTTTGGAGTCACGTTCGAGTTGCTCAGAGATGTTGAGCGTTTCAGAGGACCTTTTTTGGAAAGATTGGCTGTGCCTCTTTTGGAGCAGACTATGGCATTCGAAACGGACACTGAAGTTGAGAGCATGGCTTGGGACTTTTTGTGTACGGTCGCTGTCATCGAGGCTGTCGAAGAGGATGAAGAGGAGAAGGAAAAGCGCGATGGCGAGGAGGATGGCAGGAGTGAGAGGAGCGAGAGGAGTGAGAGGGGTGAGGCTGACAGTGGTAATGAAACAGAAAAAAATGCCGAGAGCCAGAGCAGTGAAAGCAGTGATATATATCCACCTGTAATTGGTCATGTGGCACTCCTACCTGTCGATTTCTCCAGAATCAGCACACTACTCCGCTCGCTCGCGACTCTACCAGAGAGTGAGCCAGTAGGGGGTATTCGCAACTTACCTCAAAGCAAATCGCATCGCAGTTCAATCTCATCGCAATCAACCGTGCTGACAATCTCACCAGGCGAGATTCGGCTACCGACGGATGCGCCACGTACTATGATGAGCTTGGTGAGTGCACCAGCAGTACCGTCCTCCAACACGACATCACCGCATCGTCGCGCATCCGTCATGCACTCCACTTCGAGAGAAAGGAGCACGGTGAGGGAGCGCAATTCGATATCCTCCTCAGCAAGAGACATGTCAACTGGTCGACAAACGCAACCAACTAGCGCATCTGCATCTACATCATCATCACCTAAATCTGGACATGCTCAACTATCTGCAACATCTCCAATACGTGGTGTCGGAGCTGGAGGCGAGGAGCACCACTTTATCTTTCCTCCAACTCAATACCTCTCAACCAATCAAATTCGTTCTAAGGCTGTTGGTGCGGTTATCACCCTCATTCACATATTCGACAAACTCGCCTTTTCGCCACCACACTCACTCACTACTAATAAACTAGCGCGAGCACCCGCATCGAGACGGTGCATATTGATAATTAGGGAGCTGCTCAACTTACTCACACCACCAACCGAGGAGAGTTTAGATGGTGTTACGAAAGTCGTACCTAAGCTGAACGAGAAGAGGATTTCCCCAACGGCCAGAATACACGCCTTACAATTTTTCTTCCATTTGAGGGCTGATAGAGATTACAGAATATTCGCAGACTTCGATTTGGACGATGCACTCAAACCGTCGGCGGCTATACTCAAGCGCGTCCGACAGGATATTGGAATGAATGACGAGGAGAGAGGTAGAGGGAGGACGTCTAGAAGGGTAGAGATACGCGGCAGATCTCGTGATCAACTTGACAAAGATTTAGAGAAACGTTTACATGACCGAAACAGATCAACATCTCGTCCACCAACCACAGGGATGGCATCTACTGGTGCTTCGCAATTGCAATCTCCTCGTGATATGCTCTGGATGATTCCTGAACAGCTGCCGTTTGAGCTGACGAGGTCATCTAGACCTGCTGAAGGTATGGTAACTCATGATCCTGATACAGCCACCGACAAGCAGGTGCCACTACCCGTTAGTGAATATATCAGTACACTAGTGAAAATATTGGAATATGAGACTGACTGGGAAATTGTCAGTTACTTACTATGTCAATTACCTCTGCAATTAGCCAACAAGAATTTCTTTTCTGGTCCACGAGCAGCAGACTCATTAAGAGATTTACGTGGAGTATTGTGCAACGGTTTGCTCAAAGATCGTTTTAGCGAATACGTTCAATTGCCTCAGGGTATTAAACGCACTGAAGTCTATGCAGTCGCATATCAATCGCTCACAGTTTTGGTGGCATATCGCAGACTGTTCGACAAAAGCGCGCATGACGAAATGATCGAAGCGTTTCTTCAGGGTCTGTCGCGATATCATTCAACAGCTAGACCGTGTGTTCATGCTCTTGTGCTGTGTTGCTACGAGCTACAAAACTCCATGGTCAGGTATATGGGCAGTGCGATACAGAAGCTCTCTCAAATCATGTCGGCTGCTAGTATGGGTAGTCATATTCTCGAACTACTCGTCTCTGTTGGACACATGCCTACACTGTTCAGTAACTTTACAGAAGCTGATTACAGACGTGTGTTTGGTATGACTTTACAGTATATTCAATATCATAACGCCATCAATGCCGATCCTGGTTCACGTCCTGGTGGAATTGCTGAGCGCACGCTGTCTGAGCATGTGTTATCAATTGCTTACTATAATGTGAGTTGATATGTAGTTTGCAAGTATTTACTTATCCATCTGCAGATATACATATGGTTCCTCTCTATCAAGCTCAAAGACAGATCACACTACGTTCCAATCATTATACGTGGTTTACTCGTAGCCAATGAACATTCTGGCAAGATAGACGAACAGTCGGAAGTCTGCTTTGATATGATAATGCGCTATGCATACTCCAATGTTAATCCGCGCACTATTAGATCACCCCTTTCGGAGCTACTCCTTTCGCCGACACCCAATAGTTACACCAAGAAAGCACCAGGGACATTTAAGCAATGGATAGTGGGCAATGCTGTCATTTCAGTAGAAGCTCTCGATCGAGCGGGATGGATGCAGATTATTATAAGAAGACCATCCGGCTCGACGACGTTGCTGTCTAAGTTGGAGAACTTCTCTCTCGTCGGCTCGGAGACTGATCTGATTGATATAACGACAGTGAGGACTGCTCTTATGACGGGATCACTGCCTACGTCTGTGATGAAGACCAACAATGATCCAACCGTTTTGCGAGCACCTAATCTTAGTTTAGATAGTGATGACTACAATCTAGAGACTACGCTTGGAGAAGGTGTTGAGGAGAATAAGGAGGAGGGGTCGAAAGGGGGTGACAATGAGGTGAGTACGATGTGCCATGCACCACTCAAAAGCAACGCTAATCCAACACCAAAGCCGCTTGGTACGCCTACAGCTCAATCGATGCCTGGTATAGAATACACCACGCCACTTCAAGATTTAGTCTTGCCTGAGCACATAATGCTCCAGCTTTCCACATACCCAAACAACAATCCGACAGCAAGACCGATGCCGAATAACTCGACAACAGAGCGTTTCATTAGATCATTGGAGAGTCACCAAGTAGTGGATTCGCATAAGATAGGGGTCATTTTCGTTGGTAGAGAACAGTCAAACGAAGCCGACATACTAGGTAATACACATGGGTCACCACAATATGTTAGATTTCTATCAAAGCTTGGTCATCTTATCAGATTGAAGGGACATAATGGATACGTCGGTGGATTGGATAAAGAGCAAGATATGGATGGCAAGTACGCATACGCATGGTGGGATGATATAGACCAGGTGATATTTCACGTTGCGACACTGATGCCAAATCATCCACACGATCAACAGTCGAGATTCAAGAAAGCACATATTGGGAATGATTTTGTGAGGATAGTTTGGAATGGCAGTGGGCTACCCTATCAGTTTAACACTATCTCTACGGATTTCAACTACATCAATATAGTTATATCACCACATTCGAAAGGCGTACCAGTGCATAGAGGAGCATTTAGTACAAAAGTGCCACCAATTGGAGTGGCTATTGATGAGGACAACATTGATGAGTTTTACAGAGTTGAATTGCAGGTCCGAGAGGGAATGCCTTCGTTTGGACCGATTGGAGATTTCAAGATAGTTTCAACAGACGCGCTACCTGACTTGATTAGGCAGATGGCCTTGTTTTCAGACTTGTTGGCTCAAGTATATGTTCAAGCCGATCTCGAACAGGAGTTTGTGTCGAGTTGGAGGAGACGTCTGCAGACGATCAAGAGATACAAGGAGAGAGACTTGGCTGAATTGGATATACCACCGCCTGCTGAAGGCATTCTTGGTGAAGAGGTGTCGCGAGAGTGAGTGAGAGTATTTTGGGTAGAATATAGACTAACCATGTGTACGCATAGCTTCTCACGGTTCGTATGATTTGCATTATAAAAGGATCTACTTTTGCTTTGTTTTGTTATATTAGTAATACAAGATATGCAAATCTAATAGAGGGGTGAGACACTTCCAGGAGACATGGCAGTAAGTGGTGTCTCACTCCAGAACTCAATCCAGTCAGAAGAGCGTGAAGGGAGGAGGCCCATAGTGTCAGCCTTGTAAAGGCCCAACCCGAGTGCAACGATTTGGCAAGCGATGAAAGCAAGCTTCTGCGGAGTGAAATCGAGTTGCTCATTTGAGATGAAAGTAGCGTGTGGTATAGTTTGATTGATTTGGAATGGTCTGAACGTGCTTTCAACTTTAGTGAAGCCTTTCAACGCATTCCATATAGTCATAAATACGATTGAAATTGAAAATATCTGTATACCTGAACCAGACATGTACATCATGACAGCGGTAGTGAAGAGTGCTTTGCCAGGTGCGATGGCAGTCTCCCATGCTTTGTTGTGCTTTATGGATCGCAGCTCTAACGACTTTTTATTGGCTTCGTTGGTTTGCTCTAAAGAAACTTGGTTGTTGTTGCGTCGCTTCTTGATTGGCTGGTTAGGTATGTAGCCAGGTGGATCACTGGGCGGGTGTGAGTGCTGGGTCGTTGGGAAGCACATAAACTAACGACTTTGACTGCTCTGCTGCATTGTTGAGGTAATTTAAACTCCAATCAGACATGATGGTTGGCTATCTTGGATAATGAAATATCAATTTATTCTATACACTAATTCTCTTCACTCCATCTAGAACTTGCCGTGCAATAGATTCCCAATTATCTCTCTCCCAGTAATGAAGCTTGTTCTCCACAGCGTGTGGAGGTCTAGAGTAGAGAAGAAAGTATCCGCATAGCCGAACGGCAGCATCAGAGGGATCCAACCTCTAGCATACTCCATCGCCCAGCAAGTATCTGGCATTCTATATTGTTTCACTGTGCCTCTTTTAAGATGATGCACTGATCCTCTCGGATAAACCTCTTTAGTAAATTTATCTGCCTCGTATGCCCATTGTTCGCCTTCTAGGATGGAGAAATAGTCATCAGCTGTATGTCTACCGGTGTGTCCCTCTGTACCCAAAGCGGTACCAAAAATAATCAGGTACTCAGTAACCGAGGCGTGTATAATATGCATTGAGCCCATAGCTCCACCAGCGTTATTGAAAACCCACTCCTCCTTCGAATTTATGGTTCTGCCAGGGTACGCGGTGTGCAGTTGAGCGATAATATCGTCGATCACGCCGCGAGTGTCATTGTGGCGCGAGAGCGAGAGCGTAGCTACGTCGTGGAGTTGCGCAGGAGTGAATATGTAGAATTTGTCCAACATACCCTCCAGAACGCTCACTATGAGATAAGACAGACCAACAAGCGTTGCCAACACGAGGTACTTCCAGTGTGACTTGCTTTCTGGTTTTGATGTGCTTGGTGGACGGCGCGTCGCTGCTTTAACCATTTTGCTGGTGCTAGAATAAGCTGAGGTGGGCTGAGACGGAGTGAGGAGTGGTGCGTGCAGCTTGCAGCTCAGAGTGCAAAAATGAACTGATCGCAGGCTTGAATATTTGAAGCGTGACATAATAGCATAATGACAAGCTTAGATGTATGCATTTCAGCAACACTCTCTACCTCAATTGTTTTCTCTTTATCTACACCATGGCCTCGTCTTCTCAACAAAGCAGCAAATCAAATCAAGGTGAGTGAGTAGCCAGTCTAAGCCTTAATTCAACTAATTATGCTCCAGAAATATCCATTGAGTTTAATACTCGCCGTAACGAATTGCAATCCGTAGCACAGAAGATCGGCGAGCTTGAACAAGACGCAGAGGAACACGTGCTTGTGACGCAGACTCTCGAGGAAGCTAGAAAGGTGGATCCAGCACGAAAATGTTTTAGAATGATTGGCGGTACTCTTGCAGAAAGAACGGTGGATGAGGTGTTGCCTGCGCTCAACACAAATCTGACAGGCGTGAGTGTTGCTTTGTGTGTTAATCTCTCTATCTTAACACTCCCCACAGATCAAACAAGCCCTGTCTCAACTCATACAGGCTTACAAAACTAAAGAGAATCAATTTATAAACTTCCAACGAGAATTTAACATTAAGGGTTAGCGTTATTAGTGTATTGTAAACAAATTTAGTATCTTATCAGCTTGTTCATCTTCTTACCACCTCGAATCCACAATGGAGGATCTCGACTTGAGTGATTTAGTTGGTGTGCTGATTGATTGTCTGTTAGGTTTGCTCAGCTGGCGCCTATCAAGCTGCATAACTTTATGTGGTTGCACGGCCATTATTTTGCGGTCACCGCCATACTTGAACTGATCGGCAACAATCTTATCATCGTATCTCTGTATCTTGTATGCATCCAGTCTACCAGCCTTGATGCGTTTAAAGTTGAATGTGACGACGTATGGACCTGTGCTTGTGACAATGTTAGTCTCTTCACTCTCTCCTTGGTTGAATTTCGCAGGGGTAAATGATATTTCCTCATCCATGTACGCTACGTGCTCAGGCTTGAGTTGTAATTTATGTGGAACCGGTTTGGCATCTGCAGGGAATGACCTATCAAAGCCCAATGCACCTTGATATCTACCACTGCCAATGAGTGTATCGATTAGAAGAAGGTATGTCTTGCATGTAGCCACTATCCATCTGCCATCACTTGTGACATCTATTCCCATAATTGGATCTCCAAGTGCAGGTAATTGGGTCTTGGCATTCTTACCAATTTGGTCAAACAATCTAATGTCACCTTTATTTGATGCAATCGCCAGTTTACCAGAATTGGTCGTAGTTGCAGCTGAGAAATCATTCTTGCTTGCATACTGCTTGTATTGAGAGTCAACCATCTTATCATTCCCATTGAGACGCGGGTCAACTCGAAAGACTGCATTGTGGGATGTACCGATAAAGGTTTGATTTGGAGTCATTTGAGCGAATTTAGCGTCAGGGAGGAAGTTATTCACGTTTACACCGTCGTTCATTCGCCACTCATCCACAACCTTACCAGTTTCAATGTCGAGATTGTAAAGTGCGTTCTTGTTAGAACCGTCCATCATAACCATTGAGCGGTCTTGTCCATGAAGCATCATCTGTAGTGGGTTAATAAGAATCATAAAACTCAAAATAACTTTAAAACTCACCTGAGATGGAGTAAATGCCTTGCCATTTGGTCGAGCAATATTCTTAATGTTTCCGACGAAATCGACAGAATCGTCACCTTGTTTGTATACACCAATGGAGTCACCGCGTACGACAAAGGAACGATCATTTGTATAACCCATGGAGAGAAGAGAGTTCGGGTGTTTCTGAGGAGGTTCATCGGTTTCTTCATCTGAGACACCACCTCTAATCAACTTATCAGCCTCCTCGTCATCCTCATCATCCTGGTATTGTTGATCGTATTCCTCCTCTTCGTCTTCTTCGGGTTCATCTGCTTCATCTTCTACAACTAGCATTTCGACATCTTGATCATGAGACGCCTTTACAAACTTCTGCTCATCGTCTTTGGCTTTCTCCCAACTGGTCTCGTTGAGATGTTCCCACATATGCTGTGCGAAACGCTCACAATAAGCGATAAAAGAGTCAACCTGATAAAATCTGAGTAACCAGGTGTGAGTTTTACCAGAGTTGTAGTAATTCCACATGAAGGAACCAGTTTCGAGGTCATTCTTTGAGTTCATTGTAGAGTCAATTGGTTGAGTGAGCCAGAGTTGACCATTTTCAGGATTTTTAACGATTAGCCAGACTGCGATGGGGGAGTGTGAGTGTGGAGTGAGTTTAGAAAAATAACCAACTAACATAAAAACCTGCCAGCTTCTACAATTTCAATGTCAACATGTTCAGCTTGCATTAGGAAGCGTTCAGAGGATTTATCAAAGATGAAGAGACCAGCGTGGGTGGTGAAAATGGGTTTCCAGTCATCAGCGGGTTGTTCGGGGGTAGGAATGAGTTGGGAGAGTGGGGTGGATTGTTGTGTGGATTGTTGTTGTTGTGTGGTTGTTGTGTGGGTTGTTGTGTGGGTTGTTGTGTGGGTTGTTGTGTGGGTTGTTGTGTGGGTTGTTGTGTGGGTTGTTGTGTGGGTTGTTGTGTGGATTGTTGTGTGGATTGCTGTGGCTGCTGTTCTCGCTGCTGCTGAAATGTCTCATTCTTGTCTGCTGACAACTGTGGGTATACAGAGTGGTCAACTGCAGTGTACTTGAACTCGTCCAAATCCTGTTCAGAAGCGTGTTGTGAGGAAATTTGATGAACGCGTTCAAACATGCACTGTAAGACTGTGAATTGAAAGAGAGAGATAGTATTTTCGTTGACGAGGGAGTTATCGACGACAAACTCCCAAGAATCGCCTTCATCGCCATTTAAATCGATCCACCTGAGTGCAAAAGTCGATTGATTTGATTGGTGGAAGTGGATAGCGGGATCAATAAGGAAAACGCGTTCATCATCAGTTTCATCGTCTTCATCGAGTAATTCTTCTTCGCCTTGTTCATAGGCGCGTGTGATAACTAATTGATAATGGAATTCCTCTGTAGTCCTCCTAATCGTTGCAACCGCGTCCTTGTAGATGCACTCAGTAGAACCTTTGATGGAATTAGGCCTGAGGAGGTTTAGCTGGCCAGATTGGAGTTGAATGAGTTCTGGGTTGGTTTCGTTGCCTAGGGTGGCGTGTTAATAGAGATATCAGCCGATACAGCAGACACACCCATAATTTTACCAAATACTGAAAGGTGTGAGTGAGTAGAGCACAAGTATCTAATAACCCACAAGATTTAACAACAAACATAATTTTATAATTGAAATAATCTATTAATTAGATGATGATTGTTGGTTGTTGGTTTTGTAACTCCACCTACAACGACCATGTCAGATATTTGTGGGTTTTTAAGTAAATTAAATTGGATATAAAATTAATCATATAATAGCCACCTCACAAGCACCTGCACACACCACAGATTCGCTCGATCACGTTGATTCAATTGATCACGCCGACACAATCACCCTCAGAGCGTTGGTTTCAACCAAAGAAGGTGGGCTGGATGAATATTTTCATTCTATTCTAACACCCGCACGTAGCTGGTATCATCATTGGAAAAGGCGGCAAGAACGTTGCAGATTTGAGAGACAGAACTGGTGTTAAAGCTGGTGTTTCCAAGGTTGTCGCTGGTGTGCACGACAGGGTACTCAGCATCACTGGCACAACCACCGCGACCTCGCACGCCTTCTCCATCATCGCTCAAACGATCCTAGACAACCCTTTGAACCCCTCGACAGCACCACTGCAATCCCCGCCCTCTGCAACCACCGCCATTAGACTCCTCATATCTCACAACCTCATGGGATCGGTTATTGGAAGACAAGGCATCAAAATCAAGCAAATCCAAGACACTTCCGGTGTCAGGATGGTCGCGTCCAAGGAACTCCTCCCACAGTCCACCGAACGTATCGTCGAGGTACAAGGCACCGTGGAATCCATCCACCTCGCCATCAACGACATCGCCCTCTGCCTTCTCGAAGACTGGGACAGGTACTCTGGCACAATCCTATACACCCCTTCTCCACCAAACGACTCACTCTCCTCCCTTTCCTCTTCCTCCCTCAGGTCCTTCTCGTCCATCAAGAGACCTGATTCGTTCAACCTGCAATCCATCAACTCCGCTCTTCCCCATCCCCGCGACGAACGAACCCAGCACATCTCCATCCCCTCTGACATGGTTGGCCCTATCATCGGCAAGGCTGGCTCCAGAATCTCTGAGATCAGAAGATTGTCCACTGCGAAAATTATCATCGCTAAGCAGCCACACGACGATAGTGGCGAGAGGTTGTTTACCATCATTGGCACCCCAGAGGCCAACGAGAAGGCTCTTATCCTCCTCTACTCCCAACTCGAAGCCGAGAAGGAAAGACGTATCAGAGGTGATCCTGAGGCCTGATTTATCTTTCTAATCTCCTTGATCCTTACCATTTCTCTCTTCTTCTTGATCTAACAAGCTAATCCCAATCACAAAAATTCTTCTTTTGTTACTATGCCATGCCTATAGTGGGAGTTGTTGTGTGTATGTGTGCGTTGTGTATGTGCGCTGTCTGTTTTGGTTATTCTCTGTCTCCGCTTGGCTATTCCTCCACCTCACTCCACTCACCCACCTTCCTCTTCCGATGCCTCTTGATATTATCACCCGCATAAAACACCAAATCAAATCCCCGAAAAAAGCAAGTCCAAAAACGGCGAGAAAGCCGAAATTGCAAATGAGCTTGTGTTGTAATGTAACATCTAGCCTGGTTTCTTTCCATTAAAGTATACAAAAAAATGTCCACTCTCACTGTACCAATTGAATCAGTAGCTGCGAAGGGCAACACAGCGGTGCACACGCGCACGCGTTCATCGAGCTTCATAAGGGCGTTAGCGGATGTGCAGCCGCAGGGGGAGCACAGCGACACCTTTTCCGCGCCTATTCTCAGTGTAAGCGGGGGATTTGTGAGAGAGTGGGTGCCGTATCTAACGATCCACAGGACAACTACACCATTCCTCAACTACTGGATCACCACTGCAAACATTCTGCTAAACATATCTCAATCATCACGCCTAATACTTGTTATTCCCTCGCCGATCGCGCTTTTGCTGCATATCGCGGCGTTGCTTATCTGCACGAATCGCTCCAAGGCTTAGAGCCAGGTAGCACGGTTGCCTTCTTGGCTGGTGAGTGGGCAGTTCTTTCCGTGGCTGTGACTGGCTGTGATTAGCATTGAGCTATGAGCTATGAGCTATGAGCCAAACGTAAAAGTGAAACAAGACTGACACCATCCCCACCCAACGCAGAAACGGAGCCAGTAGTGTATTCGACGATGGTACTAGCAGCGATGCGGGCAGGCTATGTGGTGGGTGCTATCTAATGAAATGCACAGTGCGCACACACTAACACACTATCCCCGCAGCCGTTTCCAATCAGCAGTCGCAACTCGATCGCCGCTATAGGGCACCTCCTCACGACTACCAGCTGCAAACATCTTCTCTACACAAGCACTAGCGGCCAGCTTCGGAACCTTGCTGAGAGCGCCGCGAGTGCCGTGAGCGCTGAGAGTGGTTCAACGGGAATGCAAATGCAAATGCAGCTGGCGCGGATGCCGACGCATGACGAACTCTACGTCAACAAAGGCACACGGCCAACAGCCTCAACATCGCCACCACCACCAGACTTATGCCCGTCTCTCGACGCACCAGCACTCATCATCCACTCATCCGGTTCGACCAATTTCCCTAAACCGGTTAGGCAGACGCACCGGCATGTCATGCAGTGGGGCCGCGTGCCCTACTACGGTAGCAGCGACGTGTGCTCTAGGATAATGTTCGCGGGCTGTTTACCGACGTTTCATGCGGTGAGATGGTGGTGCATATTGCAACACTAACACTAACACTAACACAGATGGGCGTCATCTTCCAGATTGCCATCCCTCTCACGACGGGTATGCAAGTGGGGTGTTTCCAAGTACTCTCCCCGCCCACTTTCCCCACAGCAGCCAATATCCTGCGCGGGGTGCGGGACCTTCACGCAAATCTTGTCATAGCCCCCGCTTCTGTTATTGCGGATTGGAGCGGGGACGGCGAGGCGGTAGAAACACTGCGCAATCTCGATGCCGTTGTGAGTTTCAGTTGTGGTGATACCAATATGCACTATCAAATTTTCACTGACTCACCCCACCTGTGCAGATGTTCGGAGGCAGTCCACTGAGCGAGGATGTGGGCGACGCGCTCGTCCGCCAGGGCGTGAAGCTGTGAGTGGGAGATATTTGCTAGTTGTGCAGACACTCACCATCTTCTCACAGGTCGAATCAGTATGGATCCACCGAATGCGGACACACTACGTCCTTCTTCACTCCGCCAGCACCTGATTGGCAATACATCACACTGTCGCCACACACCAAACCGCGTTTCATCGCCGACGCGGGTGGTGGTGGTGTGAGCGAGCTGCAGTTCGTAGCGTGTGCTAGTCACGTGCCTGCCGTGAGCAACGTCGGCAAAGTGGGGAATGCCGGTGAGAGCGCCATAAGCACACAGACATACGCCACCAACGATCTCGTAAAGCTCCACCCACGCCAGCCCAACCGCGTCCGCATCGTCGGGCGCAAAGACGACCAAATTATGCTGCTCAACGGCGAGAAAACTAATCCTACACCTCTCGAGATGATCATTGCGGAAAGTCCACACGTAAGCCGTACTGTTATGTTCGGTAGAGGGCGCCGTGTGAATGGGGTGTTGGTTGAGCGTGAGAGTGGAGAAAGTGAGACACACTCACACTCCCGCTTCGTCGAATCGATTTGGATGGATATAGAGCGCGCGAACAAGATGGCCCCGCAACACAGCCGTATTCTGCCCAACTACGTCCTGGTGGCAGACCCTAACCGACCCTTCCCGCTCACGCCCAAAGGCAGTGTTAAGCGCGCGGCGACGCTGGAACAGTATGCGGGGGACATAGACGCGCTATACGAGCGGGAGAGCGGGGACACGAACGAAAATAAAGAGGGTAATGTGGAAACGACGGCGACCATAACCACACAAAACGCGCATCAAGTTGTTGCGGACATACTGAGCGACCTCCTCCCAGGCGGACAGGTAGATTCTACCACGCACCTCTTCACGCAAGGCTGCGACAGTCTGCTAGCAACGCTGATCCACAACCGGTTGCGCAACGCGCTGCCGGGGACACACAGGGGACGTCTGGGCAAGAATGTAGTGTTCGACCATCCGCGGCTGGGCGATCTCACGCGCCACGTCGTTGCACTGCTCAACAACAAACTTGCCACACCTTCAGCCCTCCTCCCCAAGCAGGACCTGCAGCGGATGATCAGGCGCTACGCTAGCGGGTCTTGGGGGCGGCAGGTGCACAATCAGACGCAGACACAAATGTACTCCCACACATCCCCGCAACAGCACGTTTATCTCGTCACTGGCACGACCGGAAGTTTAGGTAGCTATCTGCTCAGCGCGCTTGTCGCCTCGACAAAGTGCGCGCGGGTGTATGCCGCGAACAGACCTCATCCATCAAAAACGCTTGTCGAGAGACAGAAGGCGGCGCTCAGGAGCCGCGGGCTGGACGAGTCCGTCGCGGACAGCAGCAAGGTGCACCTGCTCGAGATGGATCTCGGCAGGCCGGTGACCGATGTAGCTGGTCTTGATAGCGTCACGCACATCATACATAACGCTTGGACAGTCAACTTCAACCTCCCCCTGAAGTGTTTCGAAAGCGACCTCGCGAGTCTGCGGCATCTCACAGAGTTGGCCTTGTCCACTGCACAGCCCGCGCACCTCACCTTTCTGTCGTCTATTGGTGTGTTGGCCAATTGGACACGAGAGAGCGTCGTCCCGGAGGAGATGGTGCTCAATGAAGATGTCGCGCTGGGACTGGGCTATGGCGAGTCCAAATATGTAGGCGAGAGGGTAAGTTGCACGCATGCATTGAAGCAGGCTGATCTGACCGCTCTATGCTCTACAGATGCTCGCTGCAGTTAGCCAGCAAACGGGTCTCAAGACGTCCATTATCCGCTCGGGTCAGCTAGCCGGTAGTCGAACATCGGGCAGCTGGAACGACAACGAGTGGCTGCCGAGTATCATCAGGAGTGCATCGTCGTTGGGCTGTCTTCCGGAGGGAGGTGACGACGTGGCGTGGTTGCCAGTAGATACGGCAGCACAAGCTGTGCTCGATATCAGCAGCAGCACATGCACAACAACTAGCAGCGTCTTTTCGCTCACTCACCCCCAGCCCGTGTCTTGGAATAGCGTCATGATGGCTGCTGCTACGCGCATAGGCGTGCCGCTCGTCAGTTATACCGAGTGGCTGCGTAGACTTGATGAGGTTGATAGCGCTGCGACGGAAAGCGAGCTGGGTAATGCGATGGAGAGGATTCCGGCACTTAAACTTAAAGCCTTCTTCAGTCACTCCACTCTATCACCCAACAAGAGAGAGTTTGTGGAGGCGCTGGGAAACCCGCGTCTGTCAACTTCAAGAAGCTGTAGCGTGTCTGAAACACTCAAGCAGTGCTCGGAGCTGAGTGAGAGTGATATGATGAAATGGATGGATTACTGGGGGATGTGAGTGTAAACACGTGTAGAATCATGTAAAGATATCGATAATTGTAAAGAAATGCATCGTTCAAGTACTACTACTGCTCCTGTTAACACTATTATTGCTATTTGGAATCGGGGAAGGATCACTGTACGACCGCGGCAACTTGGGCATCGACGAAGGCCTTTTGAGAAATTTGTTGTGTTCTGGAAGAACGCCACCCTGTAAAGCCAGCGTTAGAGGGAATAAGCGGACGCACACACCACCCACTCTCATCAGCAATTTGGTCACTGGCTGTGTAGGCATCGCACCGACGCTGAGCCAGTAATCGATACGCTGCTTGTCCCATTCGACGAGTTTCCTGGCTGGTGTGCCTGCGACCCTGATTCTCGGTGTTGGATCATATTCACCAAGCTTCTCAAGCGGCAGTCCATTCCTGGCCTTCTGGGCGGGGATCGCGACGAGGTGGTAGAAAGGCCTATTCGCAACGCCGTGCCTTGCCAAACGAATTCTAACGCCAGACATATTTTAATTGGTGTTGGTCGTCAATGGAAGACGTTTCTAGCACACGGTCACCAGGAAACTTAAAATGCCACCACCACCACCACAACCAGCTGCAGTAGGCATGGCTGAGCCAACTGCATTCCAAAAGAGTGAGTCCGTCTTTCTAGTCTGCGTCGCGGCGTGCTCACGGTGTGCTCACAGTGAAGGTAAGCGGTGTGCGCTATTTGAAGCCAATAAAACCCTAAAGAAGCTCTAGATGGGCGCTCTAATGGGCTCAACAGTTGGTTTGACCATTGGTTTCATTTTTGGTGGTTTCTCTATCATAAGGTAGGCTTAAAATCCCCATAGAACCATTCTAACAGCAGGAAAGGGCTGGTCCAGGTCCTAGAGGTGTCATGGGTACTCTATCACAGTACATGCTCAGTTCTGCCGCTACTTTTGGCTTCTTCATGTCGATTGGTTCCGTCATTAGAACTGAGGAGGAATTCAGACAGAGAAGGGCGCTTCCGGTGAGAATAATAGATAACAAGCAACATTAATTACTAAACAATGCATTCTTCTTTATCAATTTGGGTGTCTGAGGGGAGTGAGAATTTTCATACTCTACTGCATTTGAACATTTGACAAGTCCATGTTTGGATTTGCTGACTGTATCTTGCTGAGTGTCTGAGAATTGTTTGTTAGCCGAGCTTGTAGCAATACACCAAGTACCAACCTCCTGCTGCTTTATCTGCTCAGACGTTGGCTGACCCATCTCCTTCTGGCGATTGTCAAACATCATCTTTTCAACCATGGCGCGCGTTTCACCATCCAAGTCACTCAATTTGCTGTTTTCAGGGACGATTCTCTTTGTGTCGATCTTTGGGGCGCCTTCAACTACGCATGGCCACCAAGCAGCCTGCGAGACCTTTTCAAAATGTAAGTTGAGAATTCCATCGGCTTCAATTATTTGTTAGGAACATGTACATTCCCCTGAGATACACTAACTCACACACGGACCAAGTGGAGTCTTCCTCTTTGACATCAGCGAACAGAGTTCCGTCTACGATTGGCTCAGAGCCTTTAACAGCCACACTTAGTTTACGCCTTTTGATGATCACGCAAAGGTCTCTAGCGCGTATTCCCGGCGGAAGATGTATAGTGACGTCTAATTCTGAAATCGTTTGATTCCATTCGTAAGGCAAGGCTGATTGTTCTGAGGCTTCTTTTTGTGCGTTGTAAGCGTCGTCGCTGACGTCTTCCTGGGACATTATGACTTGATGGTGTGGTTATGAGGAGGTGTATGTTTAAGTGGCTGTGTATGCCCCTTATTCAGTTAGTCTGCTCAATTTATATTTTCACCCGCGTAGCCACCCACTATCCCCGTATTCCCCCGCCGTCTTCCTCCTTGAACTTCAACGCCCAACAACCTTGAATTCAAAATGGAAGAGGCAGAATTAGCCCAGTTTAATTTGTCCATCGTGCTGCCCCTGCAGAAGCAATCCAAGAAGCAACACCACCAGCACCAGGTCCAGCCCCAGGTTATTCAAATCATGACCCTCCCTAAAGAGACGTGCTTGGATCTGGCACAGGCTGTACATGAATCTTCTGAGGGCTACAACGTTGGTGCTTTCAGCTTCAGGGATCTCGTCGTAGAGAACGGCAAACACCTCCCTTCCTCAGATCGTCTCACAGACAACACTCAAGTCGCAAAGATACTTGAAAACCAGGAATCTGAAGAGAAAAAGCTCTTTGTAGTCCTCGAGGACTACTCTGATATTGATCTTAGACACCACGTTATCAGATTTAGAGAAGCAGCCGTTGGTCCCTCCACAGACACTACAAATCTCGGTATTGAATCCGGTTTGAGCGTCGTTGACTATGTCCAACCACCTTCTGCTCAAGAGGATCCCTCCTTTGACCTCAAAGACGACCACTCTTTCCAGCAATATGATGTTAACAGTGTGAGACCTATGTCTAAACTCCTCCCAAAGGACAGGAACAAGGAGTTACAACAATCTGTCAGATCCTTTTCTCTCAGTCATTGGAACCCTCCTCCTCCTCAATGTCGCTTAAAGGGCCACGTCCTCTATTTACAACTCACAACCCTCGAAGGTGAGATTTTTCACATCACCGCCACAAAGAAAGGTTTCCACGTTAATAAATGCACATCATCTCATTTCGATGGAAGCATGAAACCTGCAAATGATGTTACTGGCGGCGTTTCCTACTCCCACTCCCTCTTCGATCTCACCAGCAAGCTCAGCAACCTCTACAACGCAAAGTTCACCCCTATCTTCTCTGAATCTCTTAACCTCGCCAGAGATCCATTTGCGATCGTTCAAATACCTCAGGCTTTACCTGCCCATCCTTGGCTCGTTGGTCGCCCTCAACACCTCCCTGACGGTCTTCGTACACAGTCTGCGTACTTGCTCACTGGTAGCACTGCTTTGGAAGGTCTCGAAGGTGCCAGAGACTGGAACGATGAGCTGCAATCTACCAAAGAGGCAACTGTCAACACTTACCATGAGCGTATTACAAGGGAGAAGCTCTTACAGAAGCTCTATGCTGACTTTTCCTTGGCCGCTGTTAGAGGTGTTGTAGCTGTCAGCGTGAGTGGGGTAGCTAATCTAGCGAATTGATCTAACTGCCCTTTGTTTCTTTTTTAGCGTGGCGAAGTACCACCTCTAAACCCAAGCGAGCAAACTTACGTACACGCAAACATTCTTTACACTCCAGCACAAGACGCTAAGGCAGCTGGCAGAGAAGTTATCTACCACCGCTTTCTCAACACTATAGATGCCCCTGGTCTTAGTGTCCTCGCTACTATTGCTGTTGACTACGCAGGTAAACGTTGGACTGCTCAGTCAGTCGTACCAGGTTTGCTTAGAAGGCAAGAAAGAGAAGATAATGGCGAAGAAGTCAAGTCTGACAGCAATAAGATTGTTTATGGTGTTGACGAACTTAATGGCAAAGGCAGCAAAGAAATTAAGTACGATAAGGCATTTGCTGAGTTGTTGGAGCCAGTCTCTCGTGCTCTGCGCTTCGCTAACAAGAAGTTGAATGTTGATGGAGAAGAGGTTGAATTTGCTACTAATCTCAAGGGATTGATTGGTGGTGACACCAGGAGATATATTGTTGAACCATCAAGAATGACATGTCCTGATGTCATGTGGGACGACACCAAACTCAATGTTGATAGTCTTGAGGAGAAGGTCGAGAAGGCTAATGCTCCTACTTACCCTTACGCCACTTTCCTCAGACAAGAAGCTCTCGAAGCGTACTCTGAATACGAGCTGAGAAAGCGTTCAAGAGATGCCGTTGAGCGTGCACGTAATGAAGGTATCGAAAAGGGCATCTTCCCTAAGCCAACTGAAAAGCAAGTCACCGATGGCGAAGAACAAAACCAAGAAGATGTTGTACCCCCACCAAGCAGTGCTGATATTGAAAAGGCTATCAACGATGGCAAGATTACTGTCCCACAAATAGGTAATCTCACTTTCAACCCAGATGTAAATGGCGGTGAGAATGATGAAAGTGTCGAGGCTGTCAAGAACGCCAGTGCTTACATCACTGAGACTCTCATACCACTCCTCGTTTTAGATGTTGTTCACGGTAATAACATTCCCGCTGACGGTGGTGCTCTCACTGCTGCCATGCACCAAAAGGGTATCAACATGAGGTGGGCTCAAAAGACTGCTTTGTGAACTCTCTCACATCCCATAGACATCTTGGTAACGTTGTTGAAGCTGCCAATCAGCACCGCAACAAAAAGAGTATTCTCGGTCCTGCTTTCGGTGTGATAGACTGCTTCAAGGGTGTAATCAAGCAAGAGATGATTCTAAGAGCAGCAAAGCACTTACTTAGAAAATACATGGAAAGTGCTGAATTTACCACCCTGCAATTACTCCTTTCGCACTTCCTCAACTGCTTGTTGGGCACCGATCTCAACCTTGAGCCTACCGCTGAATCACCTAAAGATGACTTTGGCGATGATATTATCACTGATAAGTCGGTCGAATGGTTCAACTTGACACCAAAATCACTTTTCGAAAAGCTTCAAAAGGAGGTTGCCGTTAGATTTAGATTCTCACTCACCGAAGAAGATGTCAAAAACATCCGTAAACCTCAAATGCTGAGGGAGTTGGCATTGAGAGTTGGTTTCCAATTGGAGTTGAGAGATTACAGATTTAGCGATGTTGTTTCAGAAAATGTTGAGGATGTCAACTTTGACAGTAACGCATCAAAGAAAGCAATTAAGAAGGCAAAGGCAGCAGCCCAAGCCCAAAACAGAGCACTTAGTGGTTTGGATAGATCGACAACATTTGTACCATCAGACGTACTCGAGATTGTTCCACTCGTTAAAGACTCAGCCCCAAGATCAACAATCTGTGACGATGCCTTCGAGCATGGCAGGCTTGCTTTCCAAACAGGAGCAGCTGGATTCATCAACCCAGATGGAGAAACACAAAGTGTTGCGCAGAACAGAGAAGCTGGATTGGATTTGATGTATGAGGGTGTTAGTCTTTTTGAACAAATATACACTCCACTGCACGCAGAAGTCGCCAAAGCATTTAATGGTTATGTTGTTGCGAAGCACCAAATGATTAGAAGTGCATCCAAGGAGGAATCAGATGTTGAGGCTCATGAGCAGTGTCTGAGATTGCAAAGAAACGCAGTCATCATCTCCGAGCGCACTCTTGGTATCGATCACTATGAGACGTTGAGCTTTATTCAAAACCTTGCTCATTTGGAAATCTCAGCTGGTCATGTGCACTCTTCCCTCAAATACTTCCGTTATGCTATTGACTTGTGGCAGAGTATTTATGGAAATGATCACCCAGAAATCATCCAAATCTATTCTTCAGTTGGAAACATCTTCCAGCAAGCGAGAAGATTTGAGGAGAGTTTGAAGATGTATGAGATTGCCAAAGAATTGTCGTTTAAGGTGTACGGTGTATACTCATACTTTGGTGCAACAATGTTATTGAGAGTTGCAGAACAGCACGTCTGCGTTAATCAACTCAAACTCAAGCCAGCTGTTAACGCATGTAAAGAGGCAGTTAAAGGATATGAAGAGGCAGTTGGTAAAGATGCACAAGAGTACAAGGATGCAGCCGCCTTCCTCAACCAGCTCACAGCGGCCGCTGTGCACATTGCTAGAGTTAACAGCGACCCAGTGCAACAAAATGCTAGAAAGGTCGTTGAAGCTAGAATGAAAGAAGCTGAAAAACAAAAGAAGGATCAGGATGACTTGGCTAATGGAAAAGCTGGCAACAAGACAAGCAAGAATGTCAGCAATGGCACTGCCAACAGCGTTAACAATGTCAGTCAGGATGATGTTGATGCTATGGTTAAATGTGGGTATAGTTAAATATATGCCATATCAACCGACTAACAAATACCTTTCAGTCATTGAAGGTGGCAACTCTTCCAAGACTACTTCCAAGAAAAGCAAAAAGAACAGAAAATAAAATGGCATAGAGCATATAATCACTAACACTAACACTATCACTAAATAATAGAACTCACTACTCTAAAATTTCAATGCATTTTTTCCTGATTATAGATTATGTGCAGAAATGTTTTAAGTAAACGTGCTCAAGGGTATTCGATTATCAGTACACTGTACAAATTAAAATAATGCGTTGATGGTCAGTTTATATGCGATTGTGCATCATGCCAAATTGTTTTGAGGAGGTATGCTTCAGAGAGGAGCAACTCCACGTCACTGTCTTTCCAAGATTGAGTTGGAGGTGCTTGAAGGAACATGATGATATCCTGAAACTCGAGTTGTTTGAGTTTTTTACTCCATTTAGTTAAGAAAGCGAGACAAACGTAGGTATGAAAACAACTGAAACTGTCAGTGCCTTCAGACTAGAGTGCGAGGGTATGTGTTAGAAGGGTATGATGCAAGTGAACATTTTCACCTACAAGATAAGTATCCCACATTCTAATTACATTGCTCATCTCGACTTCTCGCATAAGCAAACAGTTGATCCAACGGAAACTGAATTGAATGAAGTCGACGCCTTGATCAACAAAATGCCTTGATAGTTCTGGGTCAACCTTTCTAGTGAGTTCATTCAAGCGTTTGACTTGGCGCATAATACCTGGTTGTGCTATGATATAGTTGTCTTGGATGCCATCGAGGAGTTTACTGAGACTCCAAAATGTATCAGATTCGATTTGAAGGAGTTCATCGTCTGATAGGAGACATGGATTACAATCCTGAGGATTGCCGTGAATGTAATTAGAAAGAAAAACTTGATAGAAAGGTGTGGCGAGGTCGTTTATACCCTGGACGTAGCCAGAAGCGGGGTGCCTGATCGACCAGACGTATAAAATTCTTTCTAGGGACCGCTGAGTGGCGTCATTCTGCCAAAGTTTGTTGCCTGGATTTGTGCGTGGTACGTCGATGACGATTTGGTGCCAAAGCTTTGAATCGAGTGGGCGATCAAACGCGTTTTGTGAAGCGTTAACGTATTCTGCGCGTTTCTTGTTAAGAGTTGTTTGTCTCCTGCTGCTATTGGTAGGGAGATATCCGAGTAACAATGGCCAGACTGTAGATCGCAGCGAGCTGGGTACGCCATTCCAACTAAGGTTTTGTAGCTGCGCGAGATCAATCTGTGGCTTCTGAAGCACTTGTTTGAATTTATCCACTTTATCCAGCCGCGTGGCCATTCTTGTGCTCGCTGCTCAACGTCCTTATAAACGCCGACGATGCCAAAGCTTAAACGCAGGAGCAGCTCAAAATCTTCAAAGGGGAATAATCTGTGGGTGGCTGTTGATCTATGGAAATATCTCTCACTCCAGTCTCAGCCCCACTCTCGGATTTACAGCTACAACGCCTGCTCAGAGCAATACAAAGACGCGTGCACAGAAAATGACGAGATCTAAATCTGAATCTAAAGCTGCTGAGGATGAAGGTTGGACTTCTGCTTCTTCAACAAACGAAACTCCGGAGAAATCGCCGTCCGAGTCGCCGAGACTGACGCAGTCACAATCACAGCCTGATTTGAGTAGCTTACCTGGACAGCTGAAGCGTCTTAATTTAGTGAATGTCGGTGGCAATGGATGTAACGTTGAAGACCCTGAAGAGTCCGATGTAAACACACCAAAACCGTCATCCAGCTATTCATTCACAAACGTACCACCTCGGCCATCATCGATAACGAGTACTACGTCATCTAAAGCACCGCCTTCTGTGTTCAAGATGAGTAGTCCACTCGCTCAAGTGGATACCAAAACGGTGGCACACGCTGCTGATTCACCGACTAACACGTCTACTACCAATCTACAAGACAATTTAGCAGCGAAACTTGGCTATAAAAGCTCATTGGGTGCTATTTCAAGGCAAAATATCGGTACACCAGCTCTACGAACACCACCCGCCAAGTCCCACCTCGTTATTAGCAATTTCACACCCGCAGGAAGTCAGGACTTGCCACCGACGCCAACATACTCAAGGTTGACGACATACTCCAATCTTAAGAGCTCGCACACGGCGCTCCGTACTTTCTTCCATCCTCAGAAGGATTCGCTGGAGAGGTGTGGGCGATATGGCAAGTTCGATCCACCGCCCAAGTGGTTTGAGCCAGTGAAGAACAATCACCACCCATTTTTCCACCCACGCAAGCCAAACCAGCTGCGTAACCTGCCCAGGCCAAAATCAATGCATCCAGAATCTACACCGAAGCTGTCTCCCGGCAGCACGCGCAGTAGTTTCGGACAAGCGATATCAGGGGTAGTGAGCAAGAACCCGATCAATAGAGTTTTCAGTTATAACGACTGATTGATGTATTTGTACTTTGATTTGATAATGTCATCATGGCAGCAATCTGATAAGCCCGATCGACCCGAAAGGTCTGAGATCAGCAGCGAATTGCAGCTGTCGGCGGAGGTGTCTATTGCATTCGCCTGCGCTGCCAAGCTGAGCGCAATGGAGGTGTTGGAGCGTGCACCGCCAGCCCAGAAGGGGAATTGGGAGGTAGAGTGTAATGCGTGGCTTGAGCGCGTTGCAAAAATACTCAAAATAGACTACGAGAGTCTCCCTCCCGAGCCCACTCACCAGGCCATAAAGTGGCTGGCCTCAGAGATACCACCGCACACACACAAATCTGTAGTTCCGTCTTTCGTAATGGCCAGTCTGTCTCGGCAGAAGAACGACCTACCCGAATACACAGCTCTGAGCAGGGCGTGTATGCGTAGTATGCTCACCGTGCTCAGTATCGATCTACAGCTACTCAGAATGGCTGAATGCCAAACAGCGACGACGATCTGGATGACAGTAAAGGATAACCTCAACTCTGATTCTGAGAAAGCACGCTCTCAACGTGCCGATAAACAGAAGTGGATCAGATGGGCAGCTACAGGCACGGGAGTGGTCGTTGGTGGCGTTGTACTGGGATTAACTGGTGGTCTGGCAGCTCCTGCACTAGCACCGCTTTTCGCTGCTCTCCCTGCTCTTGGCTTCTTCGCTACAGGTGGAGGTGCTATTGCGATTGGCGTCATGTTCGGTCTCACTGGCGGAGGATTGGGTGGGTACAGAGTCGCTAGGCGGACCGCAGGTATTTCTGAGTTCAAATTCGTACCTTTGAAGAACGAGGTTTTGTTCGACGGCGCGCTTGGCAAGGGAAGCTTGCCGACACGCAAGGTGGATCCGGAATATAGACCGCCTTATGAAATTCGCAGCAAGTCGTCTTCATCGAACTCTTTAAGTACGCTAGGTACGCCAACTGACAAGTATAAACCACCAGTGCCTCCAAAACCTCCAACTATAAAGGCTAAGTCTCAAGCAGAGGAGAGGAAGATAGCTAGCGATATTCCAGCGAAGAGGCCAGTAAAGGCACCAGCAAAACAACCAGACACCTCATTTTCATTCAAAAAAATGGGCAACTCGTTTGAGCAGTTTGGGAGCAAAACTATGTTTGGAATGCGCAAGTTTGGAGACACAATCAGCGACGGTGTGGCTAATATAGGTATCAACAACAAGACAGAGGAGGAAAAAGAGGCTGAAAGGGCGACAGAGAACGCAGAGGTAGCACCTGCAATGACAGCCACAGTCTGCGCCACCGGTCTGCTGCTCAACGCACCACAAGAGAGTGTGAATGTGTGGAGGGAGTCATTCGGTGACATTGCGAACGCGGAAGACGATCAGAGAGATGTGTATGCACTGACGACGGACGCTAGCTACTTTGTCGACGCAGGCAAGCAGATCAATGGGTGGGTAATTGAGAAGATAATTAATATGGCCGGATCACAAATCCTGGGCGTAACAGCACTGGGTGCATTCATGGCGGCTACGGCTGTCCCGCTGGGTTTAATAAGCGCTACTGGAATGGTGATTGATAATGCATGGCAAGGTGCAGTAGACAGGGCTAAGAAGGCTGGCGATATTCTTTCAGATGTTATTAGAGATAGGGTGCACGGAAAGAGACCGCTCGCTCTAATAGGTCATTCTCTAGGCGCACTCATGCTCGTGAGAGCGCTGCTGAACCTGCCAGCACCTGACACACCAATTATATCCACACTCACGCTCATCGCTCTCCCAGCCAGCCTGAGCGAGCAGGAGTGGCTACATTTGCGCGCTTTTGTGGCTGACGAAATCACAAACGCGTATGTACCGAATGATATAGTACTCGCTATGGTGTGTAGGCTGCACGAGGTGTTGACAATCAGGAATCCGAGGACTTCAGTCAGGGTTGCTGGGCTTGGACCTGTCAATGATGAGCAAGTTGAGAAAACCAAGGCAGATAATGAAGAGAATAAATCGCCAGATGGAACGAAAGCTGTTATTGAGCAAGTTGCTGTTTCTGGGCGTAAATCTCACATCCGAGATGTCGATTTGAGCGGAGTTCTGGAGGGACATTTTGATATTCTCGAGCCAAGCAAGATGAAACAAGTGCTTGAGGTTATCGATATAGAGTAGTAGTAGCCGCTTTTGATATTTCCTTGATCTTGCTTTTTTGTAGAAATATGCATTTTTCTTTATTGTCACAATCGACTTAATCGGATGACTTCATCGGATCCTATTCACATACGGCGATGGCACAGTTGACAGACTTTAGGCGAGGTGAGTGCAGCCTTGTGCATCTGCTTGCAGCAACTCAGACTGGCTAGAAATCGACAGCATCCACGAGCAAGCTATCAAGGCACAGCGTGAAGCTGGCCACGTGAAGTGGATCGAGGCAGGAAAGCAGCAAGCAAAAGCAGCGAAATCCCATAAGACACCGGACGCAGAATTCGACAAACTCAGTTTGGATAAGGAGGATAGTGGCGATTCAGTGGATATCAACGCAAACAACGCCGTTGAATTACTCTTATCTACAGATCCTCCTATAGACAGCATGGGGAGGTATGTAGAAGATTGTATAAGACTATCACGCGGGGAATGCGTCGCCTGTATTGGCAATAAGGACGACGATGTATTCATCTCAGGCACCCTCTCCTTCGAGCAGACGCTAGCTATTCTCAAACAGCTCAAAAAAGCTTGCAAATCCGTCGATTGCGGTCTCGGTGTCCTCTATCAGCGTGTCTCAGACGATGAACAAGAGGCAGTGATTAAAATCATCCTGCGTAGACTACCAAGCTCGCCTGAACTATTTCAAGAAGTTAGGTTGGCAGTTTGCGGGAATGTTGACGCCGGTAAATCAACACTGCTCGGCATTCTCTCCAGAGGTGGTCTCGACGATGGTAGAGGCAAGATGCGTGTCAATCTGTTTCGTCATAAGCATGAAATTGACAGCGGCAGAACTAGTTCAGTTGGTTTGGAGATAATGGGATTCGATCATGAGGGCAATGAAGTCCAGTCGTATTCACAGAAGCACAGTTGGGATGAAGTGTGCAAGAAAAGTAGCAAAATTGTTTCATTTATAGATTTAGCGGGTCATGAGAGGTACTTGAAGACGACGATATTCGGTATGACTGGTACACAGGTTGGTTTGGTGTATTATATTTGCATGTCCACTAACACGAACCAGCCTGACTACGCAGCACTCATCGTGGGTGCAAACGCAGGTCTTGTCGGTATGTCAAAGGAGCACTTGGCAATTTCACTCGCTCTAGATGTCCCAGTCTTCATTTGCGTGACCAAGATCGACATGGCGCCGCAAAATGTACTAGAACAAACACTAAAGCAACTGTCAAAGATACTCAAGAGTCCAGGATGTCGAAAAACACCAGTTTTCATACGTTCAAAGGAGGAAGCAGCGGATATATCAACTAGATTCGTTAGTGAGAGGATTGCACCAATATTCTTAATTTCTAGTGTGACAGGCAGTGGAATACCACAATTAAAGACATTCCTCAATGTTATTCCGCCTGCATCAACAGGGCCCGATTTGATTGAGCAACCATTAGAGTTCATGATCAATGACGTCTACTCAGTTCCATATGCTGGAACGGTTGTGAATGGTATTGTCAACGCAGGAAGCATCCGCCCGAATGATACGGTTATGGTTGGACCAGACAGTCTCGGCAACTTTATAACAACTGCTGTGAAATCAATGCAGCGGAAGAGGGCGAATGTGAATGTGGCAGAAGCTGGACAGTCAGTGTCACTAGCGTTGAAGCGTGTTAGAAGGAATAACGTGCGAAAGGGACAGGTAGTGATTGCAAAGACAGAACCACCACCTAAAGCGTCGTGGAGGTTTGTTGGAAACATACTAATACTCTACCACTCAACCACAATCAAACAATCGTATCAGGCGATGGCCCACATTGGTTCGGTTCGACAGACCGTCAAAGTTGTTGGACTGGATAGTGGAAATGGATTGCTGAGAACGGGTGATAGAGCATCAGTAGTGTTTGAATTTATCAAGGGGCCTGAGTACATCAAGGAGGGAATGCAGTTGCTGTTTAGAGAGGGACGAACGAAAGGGTTGGGTGTTATATCTAAAGTGATTGATTAAGTTTGTGTCAGCGTGTGTTAGCACTTGTTCATATGTGTGTATCTCCCTCATCGTAACGGTCATCATTGAAATGCTCAGCGACGACAACAAAGTAGGTGTTATAAATTGAATAGTAGTGCCAGGCTTATTAATAACTAGGAGCGTATCACCAAAGCTGTTGAAGTGGCAAAGGTTGGCTAACCCAGTGCATCTTCTTAACGACAACTAACCAATAGCTTTCTAGGTAGCTGCACACTGGGGATGGGTACCATTCGTTATCTACGTTGGATTCGTCAGAGCCAATCCAAAGCCAAGTATGATCAAGCTTCTCAGTCCACTTGCTTAAAAATATTCAAATGTATAATGATTCAATCAGTTTATATAGCGTACTGCATTTTTATTACGTACATAACTCAAAGCACTTGCCACTGTTGTACAACCTACAGTCCACTGGATGGCCTGGAGGAGTAGACTTATATCGTATCCGATGAGTGGACTAACAGTGGTTGTGCCCATGAGGATGAGTTGTAAGAAGGTGTTGTACTGGTGAAATCGTGTTAGCTGGGCTTATTGAGTTGCCATGGACAAACCTTGCTGATATTGGTTGGATTTACTTGAGCTGATGGAATACTAAAATCCCAATATCTGCTCAATGTTTTCTAGAAGTTGTTTGAAATTGTTTGGTGCCTATAAATTCAACTCACTGGCTCTGGTAATGATGCATAGCGTATGTAAAACGCTGACAGACTCAACCCGATATCTCTTCCAAGTATAATGAATGCTAAAGGGAAAGGTATCATTCCGGCGTAGGTGAGAGTGCAAGTGAGAGTTGCTGGGTTGTGTTTGAGTGATTTAGGTGTGTTGATAAGCAGAACACACTCATTAAAGCCTTATCAGCAGCAGGATCTAAAATACTCCCAAGGACGGTACCCATGTTGTATCTCCTTGCTAAGAAGCCATCAACCTAACACGCCAATGAGATACACTCCCAATAACTCGATAATCTGATAACGCACACCATCTGATACGCCTGCGTAGAGGAGGATAGCAGTGGCAGTGTGGTAATCGTGGTTGCATATAGAATAGCCCAATGGGATGCAGCTGAGTATTCTCGATGCAGTTAAAGCGTTTGGGATTGTCCAGATGTTCTCATGTCTGTCGTGTCTGTCGTGTGTATCGGGTGAATTCGAATAAAACCGCGTAAAGCGTGTTGAGCGTTTAGAAAGCGGAGTAATTCTAGTATTTCCAATTAAATTTAAACACCCAAATCTCCTCAACATGATTGTAATCTCTTAACGAAGATCTTCCAACAGCCAACAACAGCCAACAACGGCCAATAAGAAGAATGTCAAATATCTCAATGGCTATGGAGCAAATGCTCCCGGAATTCAAAGATTATGAAAAAAAGAATTTATTTACAAAGGTTTGGGAAATACATGGTGTAGATATCATCACTCACACACTCACAGCTTGAAATCAAGAGCATCGCTGCAAAGCGCAAGAAGCTTGAAACTGCGCTTGGGAAGAAGACTCCTTGTCAGTCTGATTACCTCAAGTACATTGAATATGAAATTACACTCGAGAATCTAAAGAGGAAGCGTATGACAAGGTTGAAAATAGCTCTCACTCCTTCGCCTGCTCTCTACGCTATCCAAAAGAGAATCCTTCAGCTATTCGATAAGGCTACAAATAGATTCAGGAACGATATTTCCTTGTGGTTAAAGTTCATCGAATATCTGAAGAAATCTGGCGCTAATAAACTTCTGACCAAGACATTCGCGAAGGTCATCAATTTACATCCATCCAATCCTCAGCTATACATATTGGCTGCTTCTTGGGAGCTCAACATCAACATCAGTCCTCACAGCGCTAGAACTCTCTTACAAAGAGGTTTAAGGTTGAATTCTTCCAGTTTGGATTTATGGTTGTCGTATGCCAGAATGGAATTGGTCTTTGCTGAAAGACTCAGGCGACGTCTCGAGTTTGATCAAAATTTTACTGAGAATACTGACCCCAGTGAAGGCGTTGAAAATGACTTAAACCAAGAAAATACCGATGAAGCTAACAATAGCATCAAGTTCAACTCTAACGAATCTGACAACAAGGTCATGGATGGCGCTATTCTTATCGCTATCGTTGACAACGCTAGAAAGACTATGCCTTCGGAATCTCAGTACGCCTTTTTTAGCTCTCTCGTCACTCTAATTAGAGAATTTCCTCTACCAACCATCGTCAAACACTCCCTCCTTAATCACACATACCAATCCCTCAGACTCGCTTTACCTCATGACGCCGATGCTAGGCTCATGATTGCTGTAAGAGCTGTTGAGAATGCTCCAGAGGAAGCCGGCGTTCTCGATAAGGTTCAAGGTTTAGATGTTGCGTGCAACGCCCTAACCACTGCTATGGTTGAGCTCCAGCAACCTCTCATGTCTCAAAAGGGTCTCATCTGGCTCATTCAACGTTATCAAGATGAGCAAGACATCAATCTTAAGCAGTATCTCAATCACTTTATCACCACTTCCTTCAAGAGCACAAAATCCAAAAAGCTTCTCACCTCAGAAGCCTACCTTGCATACCTCAACCACCTGCGGTCATCAGGCGAAAGTGAGGATAACATTATTAATCTAGTTGATCATGCGTTATCAAGGTATCCACAATCACCACAACTGCATTTGTTCAAATTGGACCTCCAGCCATCTACAAAAGCATACCAAGAAGCGCTCCAAATGTGCCCAACGGTGTGGGAGCTGTATGAACGCTATGTGTACTACTCCCTCAATGATCTCGACTCTACAGCTATCCTAAGGCTGTTTGAGAAACTCGTCGCCGATTCAATTCAAGGTGCAGCACTCATCAGAGCCAACGCTGAGGAATACGAGAATGGAAACCTCACTATACACGACAGACTGCTGAAAGTATTCGTCGAGACTAACGCATCTCATAATTTCACTCCACTGTCTCCTCGTCAGCTATTTCCTGCATCGTTTGTGACAAACCCATCACCAAAGTTCTTTGAATGGATACTGTCACTAGATAGTGGTATGAGCGAGGATCTCACCAAGAATTTGTTCAGAAAGTGGTCTGAACACCCTCAATCGGATAGCGTACAGGTTAGTTTGAGTAATCTCAAATGGTTGCTATCCATTAATCAAAGCTCACTCGCTTTTAACACGTTCAACTCTACCCTTGCTCACCTCACAAGTGATTACGATAAGGTGCGACTTGAGGGTGGATGGCAGCATCTTTTGAATGGTGAGAAGAAGGAAGATAATGACAACACGCTTATGGAAGAGTGATTAAATTTGTATGCATTTATTTATTGCTTTTAGACTGTCACTGTTTTCAGGCTGAAAAATAGACAAAGGTCACTCCAAATAAGTCGAAAGAAAGATAATTATACTAGAAATTGTGTTTAAGCCGGATATAAAGTGTTAATCAAGGCTATTTGTAATACATCTTCATCTGTATATGAGTTTCTATTTGTTTAGAATGTTTTGAAATTGCTGAATTAGTGTTAAGGTTTGGGCTT